ATAAGGAATAGACTACGAGAGAAAAGATAGAGGTAGAGAATCCCTTACTATATACTAAGGAACTTATAAGCGGTACTAAGCGTATAGAATAAGAGATTATTAATAAATCTATTAAGATACGCGTTTAGGCGAACCTACTAGAGAAGCTTTACTTAGAGGTATATTATATAGTAATCTACTTTTATAATATAAGTTCTCTTGTATACTAAGAGATAAGGAGTCCTAACTAAGTACTCTAGGAATAGTTTCAGAATTACTTTTAATAATATAATCTACTAATAATAAAGAAGCTCTTAATAGACTTAAGACTTAACTAGAGTAGAGTATACGCGTATAAGGCGCGTATATATCTAGTTATAGCTAATAGAGAAGCTGGAAGGAGTTATAAAGGTTTTAAAGTTAGCCTTAAGGTATATATTAGATACTTAGTTAGTTATATTACTTCTAACTTATATAGGATCTAGGTGCCCTAGCTACACTATATAATAATCACGTGTAATATATAGTTTAATAAGATAATATTCTATTCCCTTAAGGAAGAAAGAAAGGTTAGCTAACTTACTTCTACTCTAAAGGAGCTTATTAAGGACCTGGAAGAGAATATTATTACTCTAGACGTAGAGTATAGTATTAGTAATATTACTAACGTAGTTATAGTAGAATATATAGCCGAACTAAATAAAGCTATAGTTAAGACTAACATTAGTATTAAGACTACTATACTAGTTATTAAGGAGGTACTAGAACTAATAGATATTACTCTATTAGAGCTTCTATAAAGCTCGAGGGTAGTACTAGAGGTATAAGAACTAATAGAAGTTAACTTACTAGAGCTCTCTTAGACTTCCGAATTAGCTTCCTATAAGAGTTAAACCTTAGGGGTAGAGAGTAATAATATAGTCCTTTATAACAATAATATCACTAATAGTAGTAAAGATCTAACTCCTTATAAGAGGTTAAGTCGAGGCGCCCTAAGAGATCCTAAAGCTATAGAGACTAATTATCTCTCGCCTTAGCACTAGAGGGATACTATAAGTAGTAATAATACTAGTCTAGGTATTAAGGAGGTATACTAATAAATATACCCTTAAGTCGTATTACTTAGCTAATAGCTATAAGACTTTAAGTAATAGGTTACTAAGCTTTTAGAAGCTCCTCTTAAAGTAATAGGGACTAAGTTTCTATAAGTAGCTAGAAATAGCTACTAATAGTAATAAGTAATAGAACATGATTGAATCTAAGTAATATAAGAAGCCTAGAGAGAATATAAAAGGCTTACTATATATAGCTATTACTTTATAATAGTAGCTCTAAGATAAGATAGCTACTTACGTCTCTAAGAGTTTACTATAACTTTCTATAGTAAGACTCTAACGTAAGCTAATAGCTATAATATTATTATACTTTATATAGTAGTTTTAAGTGTTATATTAGATATCCGAGTAGAGGTAGGAGCCTCTAACTTATAAAACTAATATTAAGAGAAGCTCTTGAAGCTACCTAAGAACTAGAGAGAGCTAGAGAGTTACTTATATAATAAGTAGTTTAAAGTAGATATGAAAAGGGAGATATTAAACTTAGAAGCTTAAGATTATTAAAGACTAATTCCTAGGGAAAATATAATTACCTTATTAATTCCCTTAAAGTAAGTATTTACTTATAAGGTAGATTCTATAGGATAGCTTAAGTATTATATGTCTTAGATTATAATACGAGGTAATATATAAGATAACTCTATAATATTCTTAACTTATATAGTTATACTTATAGCGAGGTTATTCTAAGTTATAATAGTACTAATAGCTTAATTCGACTTAGAAGTAAAGTAGTTTAATATAATTAACACCTTTATTAATATAAAAAGAGATAAGAAAAGCGCTTTAGTCTTATGTTTCCCTTTAGAAAGCTAGAAAAGACTAGGAATAGTAGTAGAAATTAACTAAGCGCTCTATAGCTTAAGAGACTTACTTATACTTTAGTATAGTGACTTTACTAAGATACTTAGTAAGCTAGACCTATCTCTACTTATAAAGAAGCTATATATCTTTATAAACTAGTATAGGACTATTTTTGTAATATTCTATATTAATAATATTTAGGTCTTATATTATATTAAATACGCTAAAGAGGGCTAGATAATTATAGATAGATTATATAAGGCATATAAGCTAATAGTCCTAGGAGATATAAAGTAGTTCTTAGGAGTATAAGTAGTATAGAATAGGGAAAAGAAGATAGTATCTCTCTTATATAATATCTATATTAAGAAGATAGCTTAGAAGTTTAATATAATAGATAGGAAGTGCCTTAGCACGCCTCTCTTATACTATAAGCTAGTTAAGAACCTTAGTATAGTAACTTTTAAGTAAATTAAGGAATATTAAGAGAAGGTTAAGTTAGTACTATATATAGCTATTATACTTTAGCTAAATATCGCCTTTATAGCCTCTTAACTATCGCACTTCTTAACTAACCTAAGTACGCTATACTTAGTAGTAGTTAATTAAGCTATATAATATCTATTTAGCTTAAGATTCTTAGCTATTATTTATAGTTAGGAAGATAGAGAGATATACTTTTTTATTACTTTAGACGTGTTATTTACTAACGATATTAATTTATATTATTTCTTCTAAGGATTCCTTATTATATTATTTAGAGGAGCTATTATTTAGAAAGCCTTCTAATAAGATACTATTACTACCTTAATAACTAAGGTAGAGCTTCTTAGTATAGAACAGATAGCTAAGGAAGTAATAGCGCTTTAAAGGTTCTTTAAAGAGCTAAGGCTTAATATAGGAGCTCTATAGAATATATTCTATAATAATAAACAGACGATTTAGCTAATAGTTAAAGAGAACTAGTATATCTTAATAAAGCTTTAGTATATCGATATATAGAATATATAACTATAATAGGAGTATAAAAAGGGGAGTTTTTAGGTGACATATCTCCTAATAAATAATATACTAGCTAATAGCTTAACTAAAAACTTACTAAAGTAGAAGTTTAAAGTATTTATTACTCTTTTAAACCTTTAAAACTCTCGAGCTAATATTAAGAAGCTCGCTTAAGTTATATAGTTTATATAGACACTTTCTTTTATCACGTTTCCTTTACTTTATATTTATAATTCTTAAACGCTATTAGAGAGAAGAGAATAAGTGGAATTATAGGACTTAATCCTAAGCTACTATTTTAAGGTTATAAAGCCGCGCTAAAATAATACGAAAAGTAAGAGACCTGATCCTAAGCTATAACTTCTAAGTTATAAAGCTATACTAATACGCTAGCTTGAACTATAATAATAAAGAGGTAATATTCCTAAGCTACTACTTAAAAGTTATAAAGCTTATACTACTTACTAAGAAGAGAGGAGAAAGTTAATTAACTACTAGGTAGCGCTAGCTATAATATTAACCTCTGCTAAAGTAGAGGCACGTAAGGCTAAACGCGCTATAGGAGTGATAATAGTAGCTCTTATAGAGCTAGAGCTTATTTCTATAGTATTAAAAATAAGGCAAGGGGAGGGAATAGTAGTCTCTTTATAGAAAGTAAAGGCGGGAGTAAGAGTAGTAGCTAATATTAATAGTTAGATAATATCTGAAATCTATAAGACTACTATTATAACTTACGAATAGTAGTATAAATCTTATTCTTATCCTTATTCTCCTTAGCCTCTAAAGCCTTCCGAATAGTAGCCTAGCGGATTATAAGAGCTTATATATATCACAGAGTTAGTCTCACTTAATACTTTAATATTAATACCTTAATACTTTATTATTCTAATACTATATTATAAGGAAACACTTATATATATACTCTCTAGGAGAGCCTGGGCTACTAAGTAGCCGGCGAAGAGCTCAGCGGTGTAAGCAGGGGCAGCGATATAACCTAATTTATTATTTTTATAATAATAAAAATAGCGCGAAGCTATCTCTTTATCGCGATAAGAGTCGCCTAGTGTACCTTATAAACTACTGCGAATATAGTAGCTATAAGGTATAGCACGGATAGCCCCTGCTATAGTAGGGCAGTAGGCGGGAGTTAGTAGTAATAGTAATAATAGTAGTAGTAATAGTAGAGAGGCAGTAGTAAAGGAGGTGCGGTAGTTATAAGCCTATTTTATAAAGTATTAGCGTAGTTCTAATAATTCCTTATAATACTAACTATATCGGAATCTTTAAATAAATAACTTATAGTCTTCTTCTTTATTATATAAGTAGCAGCGAGGTTAGAGGTGCGTAAGGCGCGGGAGGCATAGGAGCTTTTAGCTATATTTACTAATATTACGTTAAAGTTATTATTTAAGGAAAGAGCGTTTAAGGGAACTTACTTACTTTATATACTTAGAGCTACTAGGCGCTTAAGACCTAACGCTGTTAGTTAGTATTAACTCTTATTATAATTCAGGTAGTATTATCTATACTATTTATATCGCTTTGCTTATTATTATAAAGCTAAGTGAGAAGGTATATTATATACCTAGCGTACCTAAAGCACTCCCTAAAGCGCTCTAGCTAACTAGAGGCTACTTATATAACTAGAACTCCTAGAGCTTCCTCTTATAGAGGAGCTCTAGAATACCTTAATAAATTAAGACTTTCATACTATATGAAGCTCCTCCCTATAGTACACGATAATAATAGAAGCAGCTTGTCTAAGGAATTAATCTATCCAAGTGGAGAGCCAGCCAATTCAGTTTCATGGAAAGGGGTGTGCACAAAGTTTTCCAAACTGGCGGCGCCTGTGTTTGGTCAAAAGAAGGCTGGTGAGATCTGCAGTCTTATGAATGAAATTGAGGGGTACAGGCTCTCTGGTCTGAGGGCGTTGTTGAAGTAGCAAATGCGAGCAGAAGGGAGACCGACTGAACAAGCAAAATAATGAAACCTCAATCCTACTGAACATCAATTCTTTGGGAATGAAATAATTTGAGTCTGATTAGAACATAATTCCTTATTGTCCCGTTGACAAAATTTAATATCTGGTATAATAAAGCCGCTGGAACTCGAGGAAGGTTTTCGAAGCGGTACACCGTTTGGTGTTGCCGGCTTATGGCCTGCATCATATGTTATTATCTCTGTTTATGATCTAGTTTATTGCGATTAAAAAGTCAGACAATTCCGAGTCATTAGCGGTTGAGTATTCGACTACTTGATTAAGAAAACAAAGTCTATCCATCTGGCTGAACTCTAAGGGCATTCCACAAATGTTTAGTGATCAACGGCAGCGCTGTTAGGCTGTTATTGTTTAGTGATCAGAGGCTAAGCGACGGCCTTCACAAATATAGCTGCTGCTAGCTTCGGGCTCGGAACAACTGTAATGTGAAAACGAGAAACTCCTGTCCTTTCGGCGCATCTCCTGGAGCTTGATGTCTTTACAAGCAAAGGTATAACTCAAAGGCTGACAAATTAGTGAAGATCGATTAAAGTTTGAGGGCCGGTATCGAACATTTAGATAGATAGCCATGCCCCTCATTACCCCTCTCAATCCAATTCCGTGACCCCGCTCTCATCTCCTCGTCCCCAAACTTCAAAACACCAAACTCTCCAAAAATGTCACCTCTCGCAGCCCTTCGCGCCCAAAGGCAAACGATCCCCGTACCCACACAATCCTTCGCCGGCCAAACAATCATCGTAAGCGGATCCAACACCGGACTCGGCCTAGAAGCAGCACGACACTTGGTCCGCCTCGATGCCGCGAAAGTGATCCTCGCAGTGCGCTCCATCAAAAAAGGCGACGATGCAAAATCATCCATTGAACAGACGACAGGGAAGAAGAATGTCGTGGAGGTCTGGCAAGTCGACATGTCGAATTACGAGTCCATCAAAGCGTTCGTGGAGAAATGTGAATCCCTGGATAGACTCGATGTCCTGCTTGCGAATGCTGGGGTGTTGAAGAATACATTTGAGTCTGCTGAAGGGACGGAGATTACTATTGCCGTGAATGTCATTGGAACGTTCCTCTTAGTTCTCAGCTTATTTCCTATCCTGAGAAAATCGCAACAGACGACGGGGGTCACGCCGAGAGTTACTATTACGAGCTCAATTGTGCACGAAAATGTAATATCTGATCTTGAAACGTGGTTCAAATAATACTTGCATGAATGCTGACATGAAATTACTGCAGGCCAAATTTGCGGAGAGAAAAGAATCATCGATATTCGAAGCACTCAAGAAGAACAATCAAGCGTATATCAACGATCGCTACAACACGTCCAAACTCCTCGAAGTTCTCCTCGTCAGATCCATATCTGCAGCGATGAAACAAAGTCCAAATGCATCGACACCTGTGATTCTCAATACTGTCAACCCCGGGTTGTGTCATTCAGAGTTAGACAAGGACATTGAGGTATGGCCACGCATCCCTCGCCTTTTCTGATACCTATTGAATTCTGCGATTAATATATCCTGGCGTACAGGGAATCTCTGGATATATTTTCACATTTCTCAAAATGCTGATTGCGCGAACGACTGAAGTCGGTGGTCGTACACTGGTGCATTCTTGCGCTGCGGGGCCGGAGAGTGATGGTCGGTACATGAGCGAGTGTGTAGTCAAGGAGCCGAGCCCGTTTGTCAGGAGTAAGGAGGGCGCGGAGACTCAAGAGCGAGTGCACAAGGAGCTGATGGAAATTCTGGAGGAAATCCAGCCCGGTGTTACGAGCAATATTTGAAGGAAGGCTTGAAATGTTTGAATGCGTTGGCAGCGATTGTGTTGATCAGGTGGATTACCTTTGATTGAAGTATGCGCATGTGTTTTGATATGTTTGTATGATCACTTGACTTGAAAATAATCAATCCATTGGAGGCACTGCCGAGGTTTGTTAATGATGAAGACCACTTTATTGAACATTGACAATGCCAGCAAGCTAATCGAGGTGAAGTCACGAATGCAGGCCAATTTCATCACTTGCATACTCCATTGATCTCCCAAGATTGTCTATGTTCTATGGTTACACTTTCCCTGCACCGCTCATATCCAAGTCCGCATCAACAGTTACCACGCCCTTCTTGATATGCCTCGCAGGGATCTTCTTCTCATAAGCAATATCAATCTCTTCGATCGTCATGCTCATGGTCTCAGGCACAAGGAAATAAGCACCAACAATAAGCAACAAACTCGTGCCTGCAAAGATGAATCCCGTTCTGGCACCGAGATTGCCAGAATCGACGTTGTAGATGTATGGGACGATGAAATTGGTAAGCCAAGTAGAGAAGGTCTGCATGACGACCGCAATGGACATTGTCTTGCCACGAAGTCTATAGCTGGAGAGTTCGGCTGCGATGGGCCAGCCGAGACCTTGCAGGAGGGAGGTTTGGAGAGAAATCAAAACGTTCCTACGTTCTGTCAGCAAAATGTCACCGTAAAATTATTGACGCGAGGAAATGCACTTACATCAAGACGGCGATGGCCCACAATGAGGCATTCCCAGGAGAGTAATACAGCGCACCGACTATGAGCATGATGACGAAGTTGATGATGCATCCCGCCAGGAAGCCAATTCTTCTGGAGATTTTGTTCATGATGAACCAGCTCGACACGATAATGATACAAGCCAGACCAAATCCTCCAATCGATACATCAAAGGCATGAATCGCAGGAAGACCAGCGATGATGAGGAAGTAAATAGACTGTGCGAGGAATGCTGTTCCCCCAACGTTGGCCGCTGTGTAGAGGAAGATGACTGTGAGAGTTCGTTTCAGATCTTTGCTCTTGAAGCATTCGAAGTAGGTTCCGCTCTCGGGAGAATGGTTGGATTTTTCCTCGCGAATGGTCTTGATGAGGTATGCAAGTCTGGCATCAACATCATCTATTTTACCGTAGATGCGGGTCATCACAGAATATGCTTTTTCCAAGCGGCCATTGTTGATCAGAAATATGGGAGATCTGATGGAACATTAATACAAGGCTCGGATTGGGTAGTTGATGTGCGACTTGCTCTGGTGTCAATGCGAATGCTATCATCAAAAGCCCTCCGAATGCCCATTGTATGGCGAAAACATGGCGGAAGGCTATGGGGTGGGTATTAGGAACGAACGTGCGGATAATTCCGAGGGCGACCCCTTGCATGAACACTGTGAATAGAACCAATCCAGACTGTATTGGTGCACGAAGCTTGATGGGAGCAACCTACTTGTGTTAGTTGGGAATTTCAAATTTCATCTTAATATCCGGTCGTACCTCAGATGCATAACTGGTAGCCGTCGCCAGAGCAGATCCTATGCCAAACCCAACAACCATCTTTCCTGCGAGCAGAGCCCCTCTGCTTGTACTTGTATACTGAACAGCCGTTCCCACCATAGTCAATGCACCTGCACCGACGGCGGGCCACTTTCGCCCAAATCGATCAAGGATGAAGCCGACAAAGAATGCTCCAAAGGCTTGTGCAAGCGCGGACATTGCAGTCCAGAGCGATGTCCACTACGTCAATCAGTATTTTGACCTTGTGACAAAGGGCAGCGCCGACCAGTAACATACTTTGGAAGGTAGGTATGGCCCGGTAGGTCCAATATCTCCAAAATATATGAAGAATGCCGGCATGGAGATACTTGCGCCATTAACGACAGTATCGTAACCGAAGAGCATACCGGCTGTAAAACATACCGTACCTGCCGTGTATTAGACAGATGAACGAGGTGAAAAACCGGGATACGGAACATACAAATCAGAAGGGCCCTCCAATGTAACTTGGCAGTTTCCCAAACACCCAAATTCCTTTCCTCTTCCATCAACATAGTTCCGCGGTGCGCCAGGACATGGTCATCGAATCGGGAAGTACCCTCAGTGTAAGACGAAGCTCGATCCATCTGCTCGACCTCTGGAGACAGTGCTTTGGTGTCGTGGATCATTGTGTTAACTCAAGAAATTCGTTCCAGTTGAGGCAGAAGATGGTGAGCTACTTGATCTGTTCCACTGGAGCCTCCAACGAAGATATATGTACAACATGGAAGTCCACTTCGAGTAACTACTCCAGATTTGGTGGCATCTTCGTCATGAGATATCTGAACGTGCGTCGGGACATGTATTCTGGGGAATTTGCGGGGTATCTCCACGCCCCAGATTCACCTGACTGTCAGGGTGGGGATTGAGGTTTAAAATTCGTTTTCAGTGGAAAGTTGAGAGATGCAATCAATTCATGTCCACTTGCAATGATATTTTATCGCAGCGCGCAAGTCAGGAAGTGTGAGAGTGTGGTACTAGTACGACCTGAAGTGGACATGAGATCCCCGCACTCTGCCGTTGTGTTGATGTGGACATTGGCTTCGCTAAGGCATTTCCAACGTCCAGTTGCGTCCACTTCTGTACACCGTCGTCACGCTCGGCAAATTGTTGCTGGTTCGGAGCAGCAGTAAATCTAAGTGCTTACTCTCTCCATATTATCAGGAGATACCCTGTTTGTGGGAACAATCCAAGCCTCCGGGATAGAGAATGCTCCACAAGCTACTTGTGAATCCACCTGCCTCGGGGGACAATCACCAAGATGAGGAGAACTTGATCCTCGTCCAACTTTGACCCGAGAAGAGCTTACGACTTCTCGGTTTGAGTTTCTATGATGTATAAATTAAGCCGGAACCGAATTACGTACTACCAGGAACGAAATCTGGCAGTTGGGAAGCTGGATTGGCAGCGTACAAAGACGCTTTCGACATGCAGAGATCTACATCAACAACGATCTAGGGAAACTATGCTACAGCTCAGTTATGGGGAAGGACGACACTCGGACAACTATTCAAGGACCAAGTATGAATTAGGGTGCCGAGATCCAGCTTAGGATTGAAGCTTCATCAGAGTCATATGAATTCAGATACAAGATCCGAAATGACCGCTTCCAGTCGCTAGGCTCATTTCACACGAAAGAGATAACAGCGCTGGATTTTACGGGTCCGACATTTGGTATTTTCGCGTCTGGAAGCGCGGTAGATTCGGAGACTAAGATTAAGTTCAATCGCTTTATCGTTGAGTAGAACAACATTGACAATTTCTAGATTCCAAGTCCATACCAGGTTGGAAAGTGAGCTGGGAAAAGAACCAAAAATTCCAGGTTTCTCCACTCAGATTTAGATGTCACTGACAATCTCGACTTCTTTTTACTTCGGTGTGGAGAACTCGGACTGGGGACCTGTAGACGGAAACCTTGTATTGGAAGAGATAATCGGGTATATAGCGCTATTACAAACATTTAAAATGACGAAAAAGAGAGTAGTCGTCATATGCGAAAGTCGTCGTTATTCAAAAGAAAATATACATCGAAGCGAAGAAGAAAAGAAGGCTGGCAACAAACACATCGAATCTAGCCGCCCCACCATGTTTTTCTCTTCCCTTCCTTCTCTCCCTCCTAGCCCGCCCAAACCCTATTCCACCACCTTCTTCTCATTCTCTCCATGACCATGCCCATGCACATGTCCATGCATATGCATATCATGCATCTTATCCTCAATCTTCAGTCTCAAACTACTCACTCTCCCACCCCTAATACTCCTAATAAAGCTCAACTCCTCCGGTCTAGATCCCCTCCTCCTCAACGCCTTAATATTCGCCTCCTCCGTATCATAGATATCCGGCGCAAGACTCTTCTTCCATTTCGTTGTCGGGATCAGTTTGGCGATATAGTGGTCTGGGATGAGACGGATGATGATTGCGACGGGGAGGGAGAGTGCGCCGAGAGCGATGCATATTCCCCATTGTTTGCCATCGAGGGGTGTCACTTTGAAGGCTTCGCCGCCTACGAAGACGATCATTACTTGGCCGCCGATCATGATTACGTTGATGATGCAGAAGAACCAATTGTGCTGGATGCCTTCGAAGATGTTGAATTTGTTGTCAAGACGGCGATTGCTGTTTGATATTTAGCATCTCCTCCCTTTAAAGTCCTCCCAAGAAGGGTGGATACTTGATAGAAGGACGTAAAGGGGGACTTACTTGTACTGATTGAAAATCTGCATCCAAACGAAAGTATTGAAGATCAACGTTCTCAACTCCTTCTCCTCCTTCGGCGAATCGTATCCGAAAATCTTCTTGCCAGCAAAATTCAAGATGAAAGTAACCACAATCTGGAAGATAGCCTGTCCGATAATCATCTTCCACATGTTGAGTGTAATCAACGGAGCTGATTTCTTCTCAGGCTTGCGATTCAAGATATTGCGAGTTGGAGGATCGGTTGCGAGAGCAAGAGCGGCGAAAGTGTCCATGATGAGGTTCACCCAGAGAAGTTGGACGGCGCTGAGGACGGACTCCTCCGTTGAACTGGCAACAGCGGAGACGAATGTCAATACGACGGCGGTGATGTTTACGGTGATTTGGAACTGGGGTTTGTTAGTCCTGACTGTGGGCTCAACTTTTGAGAACCGGGGAACTTACCTGCAAGAACTTCTTGACAGCATCATTAACAGCTCTACCCCACATGAGAGCCTTCACGATCGATGCAAAACTATCGTCCATGATAATGATCGACGACGCTTCTTTGGCAACCTCAGTTCCAGCAATACCCATAGAGAACCCAATATCAGCCATCTTAAGTGCAGGAGCATCGTTTGTTCCATCACCTGTAACAGCAACCGTTTCCCCGAGCTCCTTCAATCTCTTGACCAAAATTCGCTTATCCTCAGGACTCGATCGAGCAAGGACTTGCAATTTCGGTAGCATCTTATCCATATCCTCTTGACTTAATTTTCTGAATGTCGGTCCTTCCATGACTACTCCTCCAGTGGCTGGTGTGTAAATACCGCACTCTTCGGCAATGGCTTGGGCAGTCTGGATATTGTCTCCGGTGACCATTCGGACGATGACACCGGCATTCTGGCAATCAATGACTGCTTCCTTGACACCTTGGCGCAAAGGATCTTGGATGCCGACTATACCGAGGAGAGTCATGTCGTTGAAGACTTGATTGAAATTTGCCTGAGTTGGGTCTTCGGGGATGGCAGCTTCAGCGGGTGGCCAGCTTGGGAAGTCCTTGTACAGCAGAGCGATGGTTCGGAGTGAGCGAGATGCATAAGTGGAGATGATTTGGTTCAGCGATTCAATATCCTGAGCAGCCAGTGCGCTTTCACCGAGTAATTCATTTGACGGGTCCTGGACGATCTTGGTGCACTTGGCCAACAAGATCTCAGAAGCACCCTTGGCGTATGCGCGGAAGGATCCATTCTCAAGCTTGACAACACAAGCCATGTACTTGACTGCCGAGTCGAAAGGTACAACTTGAACCACGTTGACATTTGATCGTGCTTCCTGGAGTGGGCCGACTGCGAGATGTGTGCGAGCAAACTCCAGAAGTGCTGTTTCAGTTTTGGATCCGATGAATGTTTGCCGTCCGTCTTGCTCTCCCTCGAATGCGGTAGAATTGATGACAATAGATTGAGCAAGTAGAGTCTTCACGGTGGCACTTAGTCGGGCGAGAAAGTCTGCAGCAGGCATCGCATCATCAGCGCTTCCACTTGGGACAATCTCCTTGTCCTCAGATTTGTCGTCGGCGTTCTCATCAGCTTTGATATCGTGATGAATGACGCTACCGGCATCGTGATTCGACATGGTTTGCCGACCAAACTGTAAAGAGCTTCCAATAGTTGCAGCAACCAATGTCATCTTGTTTTCTGTCAAAGTACCGGTTTTGTCGGAACAAACGGTGGTGGCGTTGCCCATCGTTTCACAAGCTCTTAAGACTCGGACCAGATTGTTGTCTTTCAACATGCGGGTAGTGGCGAATGCGAGTGCGAGCGTCACAGCAAGGGGCAAGCCTGCGGAAAAGTTAGCAATTACATCCTCCTCGTGGATTGTCTTGAAAAGATTTGAGCTCTCTGAAGTGGGCTTAGTGAACTTACCTTCAGGAACAGCCACCACCACAACTGTGACGGAGACAATGAAAATCTGCAAGAACTCCTGTCCCTTCTCAGAAGGAGACAACGGACTACCCTTCAACTGCGCCAAAAACTTGATAAACAACACCACGAACAACACCAACGCAGCCCCACCACCAAGTTTAGCGATATATTCAGCAAGGATATTGAGCTTCTGTTGAAGCGGCGTCGCGTCCGTTTCCTGTCTGAGAGACATCATAGTTTTGCCGAAGGTCGAGTTGACTCCAACACCTGTGACCATGAACTTTCCGGTCCCCTCTGCCATCTTACTTCCAGACAGAATAAAAGGATCCAGCTTCTTGAGACTTCCTCCTGCCTGGATGGTTTTCAAAACTTCCGCACCAGACTGCTTCTTCAGGAGATCTGACTCGCCCGTAGCGGACGACTCATCGCATTTGATGGAATGGCCTTCAATCAAGATCCCATCAACAGGAACCATATCTCCAGGCTCGAGATGCATGACATCGCCGACCAATACATCGTACACAGAGATCTCCATTGACTTTCCGGACCGAATGACTTTGACCGAGCGATCTTCCTTCTTCTTGTTCAGTTTGACGAATTGACGCTCCTTCTGCCAGTCATTGATCGTGCCAACAACAACCACAATGAGAATCGCAGCCATAATCGCAACACCTTCAACCCACTCGACCTTTGCCTCACCAGGTTTGTGCTTCTGTCCGAAAGTCTGGTATAGACCTAGAGAAAGGGATACTACTGCAGCGATTGACAAGAGAATCAGGACTTTGTCGTTGTAAGCGATCCATGCTAGCTGTAACAGAGTCTTGCTCTTCTTCTCCGGGAGACGGTTATCAGCGAAAACACGTTTGCGGTCTTCATACTGCTCGTCCGCGTTTCCATGCGGTGCAGTAGCAGCGCCAGTCCCAACCCGTACAGCTCCATTAGACTTTCCATTGACGTCTTCCTTAGATGTTCCCGCAGTAGCCTGTTCAAAGGAGACTTCTCCATCCAATTCCGTCTCATCTAAGCTCAAACCACTGTTCACATTTGTTCGCAATCCCTTCTCCAATCCTGCAATTCCACCAAGCGCATAAAACGCACTGAGACTCTTCGGGTTGAGAAGCTTCGATAGCTGGCCGGGACTGAACGCAAATGGATTATCTTCTACTTCGAACAGCTTTTCTGTTCCAGGGTCAGGGGTAAGCGCTTCCTTGTCGTGTAATATGAACTCTGCGGTGACTTCTGGAGCAACTGCCAGAGCTGCCGTGGGCGTGACTGATTCTATGACTTCTTTCTCGCTTTGGGAGGTTGTTTTCGGGGGACCGCCATTTCTGGCAGATGCAGAATTCTGTGATGTAAAAATGGTCAGTACGTTGCTCAAACACGCGCCGTGGGAGAATAGGGTATATTTACTGCTGGAGTACCAAATGATACGACCTTGGCTTCTGGGCCTCCAGGTCTGACTGAGGAAGACATTGTGTTTTCTTTGGTCGTTCACAGTCTTTGCGCTGTTGTTTGTTTGTTTGTAGGAGGAGGTCGAGGGATATATGGGTAATTTACGCGAATCTAAAAGAGTCAGTCAGTCAGTACAGCCTCGCCGTGAACAGTCAATCATCCACAATTATATTTAGAACAAAGAACAGCAATGCTTCTCACCTTCTACGTTCCTCTCATCGTGAAGAACTGGGTATTCAGCGTTACACAATTGGGCGCGCAGCTTTTTCCGTCTTCAAAGGGCCTTGGGCAAATATCAAGGAAATGGGCAAAGCTTCAAAGCCTTGGGCCTCCCACGATATGTATCCTAAACAAGGAAGAGATGATACCCGTGCACACCCAGGCTTGCTCCGCCCCGATATGGCTTGCAGGTAGCGCGTGTTTCATGGGTGAATTCCATGTTGACGTATCTCGTTCCTGGCATGGGCAAATGAGGTGTCACAAAGAAGGGATAGCAACCAGACCAGAACGGATCAGGGCGTCACTACAACGCTCCAACAGTAGCAACGAATCACGCGAGGTGGAAGAACAGGGCAGACGGTGGTGACCCGGTCGGCAAGGCAGTCTCGTCATGGCTTTTAGCTCGAAAGAAAGTTTGAGCACAGCAAGTTCAGCTGAAAATCAGATGGGTAATTACCACAGCTCCAGGGCGGCAGATTCTCATAGCCGCCAAGGCTGACCTTCTGCCTCGCTGGCCTTGCTCAGGCCCCTGTACAAAGCGCCGAAACCTCGACATGTCCAATCAGACAGATCATAACATTGGCGCCCAGCCGCGCCCAGCCTTGGCCCGAGGCTGCCTTTGCAACACCATATAAAAAGCTCACTCTCAACACTCCATAACAAATGGAAATAAGCCTCTCAAGCTTCTAGTCGACGTGTTCGACTTCAGGAGAAGCACGTGTCAGGTATACAAGCAATCATTAGTCCCCATAAAAACAGCTTGTTATGAGTCTCTCCAAGAAAACAAATTTGGCTGGAAAATTTCCGAACAGCGTCGGCACCTTGACGAGCGACAGGACCAAATTCCTTAATATGAGAGGACTGGTAAATTTACGGAGACTCGCACAACTGACGGAATATCGCAGAAAGAAACCATACGGAATGACGCAGAATTGTGAAACGACAAAATCAGAGGTAACATGTGGCATGCCTTGCACCTCATCAGGCTTCACCGTAAATATGCAGAGGTCCGGAGAGAAAGGCCCGCCACAAACGAACAAAACGGAAGCTACTAAGCCTAACGGAATGACGAGGCAAATCTCGGAATTCGTTTGAAGAGTACGTGCCCAAGCTGAATGTTGAATGGATGATCTGGAGCATAAGCTGTCAGTTGTTGAAGTGAAACGAAGTCGCTCGATGATGATGGAGTCGAGGTCAAAACAACTTTGGTGAAGATCCACCATTTAGCGCCAAGATCATATCACATGATCCAGAGGACCTCCTTCCATTCTCTCTTCCTCCCAGGAACGAGGCACAACATTATGTCCAAGCTGAAAGCTATCTTCAAACCCATTCAGAATTCCTTTGTAACTAACTTCAGCTCTTCCAGGCCTCTGTTCCTTCGTGTTGTTCTAGTACTCGGTCAGAAAAGCCTGGACTTCTCGCGAGGTACGGTACACTCCAGCCGAGGTACTGTACGTTCTCAGGCTTTTTTTCTATTCTAGTCGATAATGACAGAAACCATCAGACAATCTTCTCAGCTAGTTCGATTAGCCAACGTGCAGCAGTGTCCCATCAAAAGTACGCGAAATTGGCTGGGCGAGGGATTATCAAGAGTTAAGGTATGGCCAGAATTCTCGCTACGCCGAAATATCGTGCATCAATGTCAAATATGTGGTTACCGATGTCTTATTGATACTCGTTAATTTGGGTACACAAGTGAGCTCTTTCACCATCTCGCCTATCAAAAGCATGATCGCTAATGATAACTTCCATCATGGCATAACTACACAATGGAACTTCCGCTGAACAACCTGTTGAGAAACAGTCCAAACGTGATGCCAATGGCTTATCTCGTTTTAGAGTGTCCTCGCAGACTCAGTCTACTTCCTGTGTATTGGCGGCGCAACACCCCTCGTGCCCCTCTGTTTTTTTCCCGGTGATCTGGGACGTTGATAGCTTGGTTCAATATCTGTAATGGAAGCCATGGCCATCTCTTCCGAAAGATTTATCCCGCTGCTCCGCGAAAGGGATTGATATTTTCTCTTGTCTCTGATGGAAGCTCCCTTGTCAGACTTTCGGCCATTCAGTCTTGAAGTAGTCGAAGGCAATGATGCAGGAGCTGCGTCTTTTCGGTCATTTTTCTCTGGGAAAGGGAGTTCTAGTGGTGGTGACAGGTTGGCAAGCGCGTCTACAGGCTCGCCTCGTTTTCGGTATGGAAATGGGGCAACCCAGACATCAGATCCTGACCTATGACTGCTGGCATTATCGGGAGGGTGCAATGAGCTAGAACGCATATTTGCAAGATGATCTCTTTGAAATTCAAATTCCCCTCGGTCCTCTTCCGTGGGCGCGTGTTGCCGAGAACGTCCAGTCATGGTAATTGTGATTGGCGCTACAGTGGGGTGCGGTTTTGGAGTTGGGGTTTCGGCCTTCAATGCATCAGAAACGGACGCCATGAGGTCTTTCGGATTGGTTATGCCAGCAGCTTTCTTCTTCAAGTAGATTTCGCGTGCTCTTTTCAATTGTGCCCCCGCTTCATCCTTCTTCCTCTTGGTCGTCTTCTCATTGATTTGTTCTCTGAGCTTAGATCGAGCCCATCCGAAAGCGACTTGCAGGACGCTGAATGGCTGGCTTGCAATGTCTTGGGGATGTTGTACAGTTGCCGAGTCATCGTCTCCCGAGTTTTGCGCTTCCAGACCTTGCTTCCATTGACTCATGAGTTCGTCATTGTGCCTTTTGAAGAACTCAGTGATGCTTTCAATGGTCAAATTCGTGTCTGCTAAAACTTGAAATGAAATTTTCCCCGCATTCACAGCATGTATGATGGCATTGTGTATGGTCTCTTGGCTCATGGCCGTATCATCCAACGCGGTTCGCTTGGTACTCAATGAATTTCTCGTCATAGAACCACTCTTACCCCTGACAGAATTTCGCAGCAGCGATCGTCCTCTGGGCTCGTCTTCGCTCATGCCATCATCCTCAAAGATTAGATCATTTGGTATCTTGACACAACTTCCACTGGCCAGTTTTCTGGACTGATGTTGTATATCTGATTGTTTTGTTGCATGAATTTTCTTCTCACCTCGCTTTTCTCGAACGTATCTCTCGCGGCTTGAACGATTGGACTGTTGCATGAAGCTTATGCCACTATCACGTCGCAGATGCTGCGTTTTTCGAGGTGCTTTAGGCATGGTGATGATGGGGTGCGGTTGTTGGTATTTCTTACAGCTAGTGGACTGTGATGTGATGCGAAATGCCTCACAATACTTTGGACAATTGGTTATGGGCTGATTCGGTCTGAAGGTGTAGCGTCTTCAATGAATAGGACTTTGACGATGAATGGTTTCTGGGATCGGTGGCAGCAGAAGCGTGTAAATCGTCATAGACAAGTCACGGTATTGTTGATAGTAGCCTGGGGAATGTTAGCACACATGGACAGGATCTTGGATCAGAGGGTAAACAAACGTTGATGTCGATGATAATGGGGATGGTCTTGGATGACGATGTTGATGACGGGTGATGTTGGATGATGAAGTAGAAGAGATCAGAAAGATGATGGAACAGAGGGGTAAATTCAGATACGGATGTTTGAGGGACTCATGAGGCAGGAGCAATTCGGCGACGTGCATAGGTAGGGACTCGAACTGAGACGCAAGTGAAGGAAAGAGCGAAGCGCACGCGATACATGCAAGCTACCAACTCACCCACCAACGATTTCCGACTTAGACGGAAGAGCATTACTTTTGTTCCAGACAATATATGTACGAAGAAGAAGACCAAAGACCAAAGATCGGAATTCCTTCCGATGTCCTATCCCATTACCTATGGAAACTCCCAACGACCCGCTTATGTTTTCAACTCCGTCGCTCACACGCTATGCTTTTGTACAGTCCACACGGCTTCACATAGGATCAACGTTATCAATGAATCCGGGATCAACATTTGGTCTTCGTTTCCGGCGTTCTTTTGCATGACGTTGTCGATGATCTCGCTCTTCAATCGGCCGTATCTTGTGTCTTGGCTCTTTCTCTTTAATTCTGGGTGGTGGTCGCTCCGGGGTCTCTTCTCGTCTTGAGTGACCACTTTCTCTGCTTCCTCGATTTGAGTCTGATAGTGGTTAACAAAGCACGTTAACTCAGCATTGCCCGGATTTGCTTACGGCTACTTCGCGACGAATTGGATCTTGAACCGGAATGTGAGCCAGAGCTAGACGAGCTACTCCGTCTCGATGACTTGGATCTCGAATGTTGTTTCTTCGGTGATATCTCTCCAAAGATAGGGATATTCCAAGAGACTGGCGGCAGGATCACCGATGTGTTCATGATACTGTCTTCATCAGCCTTGCACCACAAGCATCACTTCCGAAGAACTCACAGCGAAAGCTTGGTAACACCTTTCGAAGCAGTGACACCATATTCCATCCTATTCTTCCATCCGGAACTCGCATTGGGATTTCCCCATCTCGACGACTTCAAATCCTTCCCTTTGATATTGAGATACGTCATATTGCTCGTCGATATGAAGAATCCCGGCGTTCTCTTCCCATCTGTCTTATCATGCGGTAACATGATGGTGAACGCTAGCTTCGACATCTCCACATCTGGACTCTCGAGATAACTTCAACGCTTCTCGAAGCCAGGAGAAAAACAAAGCACAGAAATCTGGGGGACAGCTCTATAGAAAAGCAAAACTTGAGATGAAAGAAGAGATATGGACACTAGTTTCGACCTCGAGCTCCACAAACAAGTTACCAGTATCATGGTAATCCAACATCAAACAGGATAGGCCACGACGGGAAAGACGGACACCAGCGTCACCATGTCGCAAGTAGGCTGGGTTCCCCCATGATTTGCTGCGGGAGGGGCGGTGGAGGGGCCAGCCTCATTTGGATCCTTCATGCGAAGTTGATCTTTCCAGAAGCTGAGAGGACACGCGAGTCGAGATTTGAGAGAGTCATGGATCACCCATGCCGGGGAACTAATTGCGGGCCAAACCTTAAGCTCACCGCAAGTTCAAACACGCTTCATAAGTTCGGATGAAGATGTGAGAGGCTGACGATATGGATATGTGGTGCTAAGTGCTATTTGAAAGGCAGATGTCGATCGCGATCTGGATTTGGGGTCGGGGAGGACGGATTCCTGGTTGGTCGCTCTCGCTGCCCAACACGTTTCGACCACGTGACTGTCTAGGTGGCTCCAGCGCCCAAGTCAGGGACAGAATTCTATGACGTAGTCTGAAGTTATCTATTGGTATCTTGCAGATCTATCATAGCTTTCTTGCATTAATAGGAAGAGTCTAGAGGCAGGCGCCACGTCGATTTCTCCATTGTCTGACCCGAGAACCTCACATGAGCCCTTCGAGACATAAGGATTGGAGGACTAGCAATGCAGCTCAAGTCAAGGCTCACCGACAGACGTAGATGTGGAAGTCAATCTTCTCTCTCACAGTGACCGGAAACTCAAACTATTTCACACTGATCTCCAATGCTCGAGTCAACTCAAGCGGAATAACAAAGTCATACTTGTTTCTATGCCGCACGCAAGCGAAATCGAAAGCCTGTCAGGACTGCCCAATTATCACTTACATCATCGTTCAGAATGTAATTGGAAGCTATCGGATAATTTCCATTCAACAAGCACTCAAAAATATATGCACTGATGAAGGGAGAAATTATGGTATTCAAACATCCGAATAACAACCACGACCTCGTCACTCACCCAAACACGTAAGATTCCGATCATCAAGTTCCTCTCAGGCTCCCAGTATCGCAAACAAGCTCTCCCACTCAACTATAGACAAGCCTCCATCACATATCAAAGCCACACTTACACTTCTAAACATAGGTACTCACCCTTGACATTCCCTCCCTCCAAACACCAATACTCCAATTCGTCCGCTGTTCTAGACTACGATAAGTAAAAATGGTCAATTCCGTTCCAATAACAGTCTCACTCGATCAATAAGGACGTGCACTATTATCTTCCGCCCCGAGCCAGGTGTGGGAGACTTCCGTGCGTTTGAGATGTATTGTGTGAAGCCGGTGAGGAGGGGAGTTCCTTGTCGAGTTGTTTTGTTCTCGCTTAATGGTGGTGGAAAGAAATCCAATGAGAGAAAATTGATGGTGATCACTGAGCTTTGAACACGTTGGAAGTAGTCTTTGAAATGAGTTATTTGGCTTGGGCGTTAGATCTTGCAATCTTCTGTGGAACTTGAGAGCAGAGCTACTTGGTTATTCGTTCCCACCATCCCGCTTGGCCATATTACGTGAAGGGATGCTTTGAACTCAGGCTTACATTGCAGTCTTCAATCTCTGGAGATCTTCGCTTCGAAAAAGAATGATAAATCATTGCAGGTAAAAACGAACTTACAGTCATTTTCATTATTCACACCTCTCGCCCTTACATCCACTTCGCCAGTCCCAAGCAGACAAAGCCCAATACCCCCACAAGTCCACAATCACAATCACAATCACACCACCCTCCTACCCATCCCATCCCAATGTATCTTGATCACAAAACCCTCAAATCTCCAAATCCCACTCCTCCCTATGCTCAACTTTCAAACTTACAGTCCCCCATCCTCGCCACATATACAGCACCTGTGCCTTTCAAGCTACGATAACAACACCTAACAACGAAACAACGTCGAGAACGAAAAGAGATATGCCGTTCCCGTCGCTACCCTTAGTTTCTGCTCCTCACCCTGCGAGCGGGGTTTCACCAGTGCCTATTCCTACACCCGTCCCCACGACGCCGGAAGATCCGTCGCCAAGGGCGGAGGTGGGAGGAGGAGGAGGGTATTTCGAGGCTGGCAGCGTTGAAGGGAGAAGAGGCGACGAGGAAACATGAATGTAGCAGGAAAGTGGGAGGAGAGGGTGGACGGAATACAAATAGTGGATGCAAATGGATTTGCGTGTTTTACAGAAAGTAGAGGAAAATGGTAGGTGTGGAAAGCCCAGCAAAACAGATAGATACTCAAGAAATATACACAATGAACACTGGAGAGTGCCTGCCCAACTGGTTAGGGTGTTGGATGAATATTTGCTCACTTTTGAGATCTGACAAGCATAGGGAATTCTTCATACTCTAATATACCTCGTCCGGCAGATGTGCTTTTTGATACATCCTGGAGCCCCAACTCCCAACGCCAAATATGCATTCCACCACCCCTTCAAGCTTTAATCATCTTTATCCATATCCTCATCCCCATCACCATCTGCCCCAAACAGATCCTCCATCTGCCCCCTCCCCTCCTCATCTCCCCCTTCCTCACCGTCTCCCATCTCAACATCTACACCATCCCCAGCAGCAGCACCAGCCGCACCAGCACCAGAAACACTCTCATCCTCGTCATCCACAACCCACTGCCCTTTCAATCCCCACGGCACACCCGTCAGCACAAACCTCTCACTAGGCAACCTAACACCCCATTCATTCTGCAGCACTCTCGGCAGCGCCACTTTATTCCTCGCCTGAGCGGTCTCAAGAAGGAATTCTTTGCTCAACCCACCGCCTCCATTCCCTCCCCCAAACTGATATTGCAGCCGACTCTGTATAGCAAGCTGCACCGCATTCGAGCTAACCTGTCCATCAGCCTCGCGGAATCCTCCTCCAGGCGGCGCATCTCGCGCACGTGTCTGCTGGGAAACATATGCGTCTGATGAGAGGTGGAGGGCATCAGAGAGGATGGATGAGGAGTGCCGGTAGGCGAAGTCAAGGAGCTGAAGAGGGACTCGCTCTTGGTAGGCGGTACAGCCTAGGGAAGAAAGCAGCATGTGTATGAGGCGGGCGTCGCGGGGTCGTTTGGAGAGTCCGCTGTCTTGGAGGGACGTGAGGGGGACGGAGGGATTCGAGATCGTTACTGGTGCTGGTTGGGATGCGGCAGCTGGTTGGGATGGAGGAGAGGTGTGCCCGTTGGTTTGGGGAGCGTCGCCGTTGACTTCGGCCATGATGGCGAAAAGAGCAAGGTGAGCTTGAGGATAGGAGGGCGGGTAGTCGTATGTCTTCTATGTGAAGTATCGTGGCAGACTTTTGCCAGTCTTCGAAGACTATGATATCTCGAGACGATGACGAAGTTGTCCCTTGAGGGTGTTTTGCGGTGACGATTGGGATCGCGGGGTTCGCACGCTGCCGGTGGCAGATATCGCGTCTCAATTTAAGCCTTTATTGGAGATTTTACTATATCTGGGGGGTTTGTCGTCCAGTCCACACTGATGATGCTATTTGTATGTCGCGTTGCCGTAGGTTTTAGAGAGAGAATCAAGTCAACGACCGTGTTGGCTGCAGGTATGAACAGGCTCGAGAGTCGTCTCGGTAGGCAGGAGTATTGATCACATATGCCGTGAATATCTGATCCCCAGCTCCGGAGTGATAGTTGTCTGATTTCGCTGCTGTCAGGAGCTCCGGCGCAAAGATGAAGCTGGTAGTTAGCTGGTCTCGCCGACAGTCCTCTGGGATTTGAACTCCAGCACCTGCATTAGCCCCTTGTCAGGCCAAGCCTGCACGTTCCACGAGCTTAAAGTCGTCCCACCACCCGGCACAATTGTACCCCTCCAAAATGCACCAATGCCGTGGTCGGCGATTCCAAGAAAATATTGACTATTGAGTCACTTGCTTCTACCCAGACTTCCTCCCCTCCTTTCTCTCTACACAACACCTCAGCAGACTCTGGCTCTCACGATGGATACTACTTGCCCCCTTCCATTCCTCGCCAGTGTCGACTTCACCAAGGAGGTTGTAAAAGGCGAGGATTGCCTGACGCCCACTCAGCTGTCTTATCTAGGATGCGTTCACCTGGCTGCCACCACTCAGACCATTGACGGTCTCCTCCAATACCTACAGGCCAACCCTGCCCTCGAAGCATATGTGGATGTCTCCGAAGTCGAGTCCACCGACGACATCCTCACGATCCTCGACGCCGGCGCCTGCAAGATCTTTGTCAAATCAACACAATTGAAAGCATTGGAAGCATATGGAGACCGGGCGGTTCCTATCCTCAATGTTGGCGATGGGTCACAAGCATATGATAATGGTGTCTTTCTCAGAGCCGCAGATCTGCAGACAACTGAGGCTAGTCTGAAGAAGTTGGCCACCTGGAATACCTCACCCATTTATGTTATGACAGACTCGATCGATGACGATGTTATTATCAATCTGGCGAAAGAGCACTCGGCGGTTCCAATTGTGCCATCTACAAGCCTTACTGTTGAACGAGCATCGAGAGACAAGGTATCCATCTCAGCAGTCATCGCAGGCACATGGAGCTCAGACCGCGAAGATAAATTAGTTCCCACCATGGTGACCGACGAGAGAGGCATTGCCCTTGGATTGGTATACAGCAGTCAAGAAAGTTTGGCAGAGTCGTTGAAGACTGGGACGGGTGTATACCAGAGTAGAAAGCGGGGCTTGTGGTACAAGGGTGCGACATCGGGTGCCATTCAGGAACTGGTTCGGATTTCTTTGGATTGTGATCAGGATTGCTTGAGGTTTATGGTTCGTCAGAAGGGCCGTGGTAAGTCAGGTTTAAAGAAGTGCTTATTACATTGCTAACAACAGAAGGTTTCTGCCACTTGCCCCAATCGACATGTTTTGGTGACCTCCGTGGAATTGCCAAGCTTGAAAAGACATTAGTTTCGAGAAAGGCCTCCGCACCAGAAGGATCATACACGGCTCGATTATTTTCAGACGAGAAGCTATTGCGAGCCAAGATTATGGAAGAAGCCGAAGAACTGTGTGATGCCAAAACTAAGAGCGAAGTGGCCTTCGAGGCAGCGGATTTGATTTATTTTGCCCTCACCAAGGCAGTCAGTGCTGGCGTTAGTGTTGCGGATATTGAGCGAAACCTCGATGCCAAAAGCGTCAAGGTTAAGCGAAGACAAGGAGATGCAAAGGGTCAATGGGCCGCGAGAGAAGGTATCACAAATGGTAAACCTGCCGAGGTCAAAGAAAGCGTTAAAGAAGCTGCTTCCGTTCCCAAGTCCAAGGACGATCCTGCTGGGCTAAAAGATGGCCGCATCTCAATGAGACGTTATGATGCTGCTACAGCGTCGCTTGAGGAGCTCCGAGCTGCTCTCCAGAGACCCTCGCAACGTTCAACAGAGACAATCATGGGCATTGTCAATCCAATTATCAAAGGTGTTCAAGCAGGCGGAGATAAGGCCTTGCTGGAGTATACCCACAAATTTGAAAAGGCGACATCCCTCACATCACCCGTTCTTAAAGCTCCTTTCCCACAATCTTTGATAGATCTGCCACCGGAGACCATCGAAGCAATCGATGTCTCGTACGAAAATATCCGCAAATTCCACGCAGCACAAAAGGAGGACAAGCCTCTGCAAGTTGAGACCATGCCTGGAATAGTCTGTAGTCGATTCGTCCGACCCATTGAACGAGTTGGCTTGTATGTTCCCGGAGGAACCGCAGTTCTACCGTCCACAGCACTTATGCTTGGTGTCCCAGCTATGGTGGCGGGATGTAAAACTATAGTCCTAGCATCACCACCGCGGGCAGATGGAAGCATCACTCCAGAAATCGTCTACGTTGCCCACAAGGTTGGCGCTGAGTCTATTGTACTCGCAGGTGGTGCTCAAGCCGTTGCTGCCATGGCATATGGTACTGAGTCCGTCTCCAAGGTTGACAAGATTCTTGGTCCAGGAAACCAGTTCGTCACCGCCGCAAAGATGTACGTTTCCAACGATACAAACGCTGGCGTTAGTATCGACATGCCAGCTGGTCCATCCGAAGTCCTGGTCATTGCAGACAAGCACGCCAACCCGGCATTCGTTGCCTCGGATCTCCTCTCACAAGCCGAGCACGGTGTTGACAGCCAAGTCGTCCTCATTGCTATTGATCTCTCTGAGAAGGAGCTGGCTGCCATCGAAGACGAGCTGCACAACCAGGCCATGGCTCTTCCAAGAGTCGACTTGGTTCGTGGCGCAATCGAGCACTCTGTCACCCTGGTCGTCAAGGATATCAAGGAAGCCATGACACTCAGCAATGACTATGCACCCGAGCATTTGATCCTTCAAGTCAAGGATGCAGAAAGCGTAGTAGATATGGTGCAGAACGCTGGATCAGTATTCATCGGTGAATGGACACCAGAGAGTGTAGGCGATTACTCTGCTGGTGTGAACCACTCGTTACGTAAGTTTCCATTCCCTTACCAAATCCCATCCGTCTTGACATGAACATCGTACTAACATCAACCAGCAACCTACGGCTACGCAAAGCAATACTCCGGCGTCAACCTCGGCTCCTTCACCAAGCACATCACCAGCTCCAACCTCACCGCGCAAGGTCTCCGCAACGTTGGCAGCGCAGTCATGCAGCTGGCCAAGGTTGAAGAACTTGAGGCTCACAGACGAGCAGTCAGCATTCGCATCAAGTACATGGACGAGAATAAGATTTGAACATACGATAATGAGGAAGCATGACATACGAGGGGTTGGTGGTTTACAAGGTTGTATAAATTTGATTTTTTTTCTGATTCAGTAAGGGCGGGAAGGAGAAAGGCGATAACGCTGAAATAAAAAAGGGCAGGATTAAGAACCATGGTATGCATGGTTGGTAGTGGAAGGCGATGCATAGATCAGATTCTTCGTTTTATAGACATGCTTTTTGAAACAAAAGATCTTTCATGGCCGGGTTTCTTCAGGTTTCTCCTACTTTTCGTGCTTCCCTAGACCATTCAGAACGTGCGCATACCTTTACTTATTGCGAGAATAGGATTTCACTTGAGCTCAAGCTTTCCACCTTCAAATCCACGATTTTTTCTCAACCTTAGCGAATCAAAAATAGCTGCATTACAAAACACCTGACGCACAGCCATCCACGCCTGTGATTCCATTCAAGAAAAACTTTCAAATCACACTCATCTCCTAATCTTGCACTCTTTTGCTGTGAACATTCACCACTTGCCCGAATTGTTCACGCTAAGCTACTGATTGCATCAAGAAAAACTGCAGTCACGGTACCGCCACTTTGTGTCACGGCTATAAATACACTGTTCGAGCTCCGGCATGTGCCCAAAATATCTTTACAGACAGGAATACGATTCTAGTCTTGGCAGTCAAGCGTGAGATTGATGCGGGTATGGAAAGAGATAAAGAAAAGAGGACAAGGGCAGGATCCTTTGATTTCGGTTTCGAGGTGGATGGGTTTTGTGATTTCCCCTGCGACACCACTCTGCCTTTGCGGAGAGGGGGAAAAAAAAGCGCAAGCTGAAGAGTGTACAATGCGGATAGGGCATTTTTGCTGTTCTGGATATTGGGCTGTGTTTTCGGCGTCAATGGATTTTTGGGTGGGCCGTGGCATTTTAAGCGAGGTGTTTTGTTGACTGTTCCCTTTGCGAAAGATTTCGTGGCGCCTGAACACCGTTTGCTAATGGGATTGCTAATTTAACAGTAGCTGAGAATTCTACTGGGAGGAATTTCATATCTGTTAGTAGCTATCACTGGGCTTGAGCTTGTTCTGGTGGAGGCAGTTTGTGGCGGCAGTTTGAACTTCAGTTGAGGCAGTTGACCAATTCACATCATGAACAAAGTCTGCAATGAGACAAGACTCTTAATTCCCCGCACTAAAACGTGCGTCTATGTACGATGAAGTTTATCGCAACTATTTCTCAGTCAGTGAAGGAGCCAAATTAAACCCTGATTAGAATGATCGGCTATCGTCGGACAACCCCGCATCTCCATCAAAGCAGATCGACATCCGCAATGAAAAGCTCCGCTCTGTTTCAATGAAGCATTTCTCCACTCTTGAGCTATAATTATGTCCTGAGCCGAAGACAAACACCAGTCATGCCTTACATAGCACACATCTCCCTCCTCGTCCGCTCTTACGACGAAGCCATTGTCTTCTACACGCGTCTTGGCTTCACCGTTGTGGAAGATACATTCATCCCCTCACAATCCAAACGCTGGGTTGTGATACGTCCTCCTCAAACCCCTCCCCAATCTCGATCCCAAACACCGTCTCAAACTTCTTCCCCTTCCTCCTCCTCACAAACCACTATCCTCCTCGCCCAAGCCAGCACCCCTGAACAAGAAGCCTTCATCGGAAACCAGAGTGGTGGACGAGTATTCCTGTTTCTTGCAACGGATGATTTTGAGAGAGACTACAAGAAATTCTGTGAATTGGGTGTCGAGTGGATTAGGGAGCCAAAGGTTGAATCATATGGCAAGGTGGCTGTTTGGAAAGATTTGTATGGAAATTTGTGGGATTTAATTGAGTATTCTTGAATGACAGGAGGGTTGTGATATTCCTTGCGTCATCAAGAGGTCTTAGTCGACTTGGATACAACTAGTCTTTTACATACTTTCAAAATTTTGATTTCTCTTGACAGTAAACTCCAAATCGCAAACGCTGGAGACATTTGGTTGTTTACGCCAATTATATCGCCTATATGCCTCAAGGCGGTCTAGTTTCTTAACGTGCATGACGTGACTAAGCCTCACACAACCTTGCAATAGCTTGGATGGAGTTTGAAGACCTTTCAATGCTCCCGATACTCCGCATCATCAGCCTCGGAGGAGTTCCTGTACCACTTTCCTCATGCCTATTCGGAATTAAGCGAGGAAGGTCCACGCCCCACCAATGCCAGACCTCCTTCAACGCCATGTCATTCAGTGCCGGTGGAACACCAGAAACTCGTATCAGTACGAGTGAAATATGCCCTCTTGTATCAAAGAAAGAGCAGGATCCGGATGGTTATGTCCCTCTCCACCACCTCCTCGAGCACGCTGAAACCGGTTGCGCCAAATGCAGTCTTGTACGAGAGGTCCACTTCGAATATCCAGGCAAAACGGAATGGTTTTCTAGCGAAAGCGACTGGACAACTCTTCGTTTCAGGGACTCTGCTATGGCTACTTTCGCCGTTGATGTTTTTGTGCCCCGAGGTAATCCTGCACAATGAGCTTTTGGGTCTTGTATGTAAAATTCGACTTACACTCGGCTAGGAAGCCCTAAGCTGTTTCCTGAACTGAAGCATCGGCCACCAGTTGGCGAGATACCACGAGAAGAATCAATTGCGAGAGCGAAAAATTGGATATCTCGTTGCGACATAATGCACAGATCCTGCCAAATAGCAGTAAAACCTGGCTTGCCAAAGCGGGTTCTTGAAATATCACCAGAAGCAGTGCGGTTGGTGGAGACTGATGGTCAATCCGATCATTATATAGCTCTCAGTCACTGTTGGGGAGACTCTCGCCCTCCATGTCTCACCACAAAAGCAAATCTACACTCCAATATGGAAGATGTTCCCTGGGGTTCGCTTCCAAAGACATTTCAGGACTCGATTCTTCTTTGCCGAGACTTGGGAATCCGCTACTTGTGGATCGACTCGATCTGCATCATCCAAGACGACGACATAGATTGGATGCAAGAATCTGCAGAGATGGCATCTGTATATCATGGATCATACCTCACGATCTGCGCAACCAGCGCTCTGAGCGATGATGTTGGGCTTTGGACAACTTTCCCGAAGGTTGCGCCGGTTAAGAAACTTCAAGTCAGGGGCCAATCTCAAGACTTTCCAATCTACCTGAGAACTAAGGATGAAGTTCGAGCAGTTCATCTGGACTGTAAGTCTAATACATATCTTAGACCAAGAACGCATGCTCTAAACCCGCTTTTGAGTCGCGGCTGGACGTTCCAAGAAGGGCTCATCTCGCCTCGTTTACTCCATGTCGGTTATGGGGAACTTCTGTGGCAGTGCGCAGAACAACAAATGTGCGAGTGCTCGGATGATGGTTTTGGAAGCAGCAGTTATCTGGCGCGAAGTGAACGCGAACGACAGCTGTTTAGAGATTTGACAAACGACGAGCCTGACGTGAGCACCGCTGATGCGTGGCGGTCGTTTGTGCAGGACTACTCTGGGCTAAAACACACGTTTCTAAAAGATGTCCTGCCAGCATTGTCAGGAGTTGCAAAGATGTACTTGTAAGTAGCAGTTGAAGGTATACCGAACCTTGTCTCCCATCTGAAGAATATCTCATGATGGAGCGGCGACTTTGCTTCATAATCATCGCATATCAGTGTCACAGCTAACCTCTCTACCAGAGAAAGGCGCCCTGGAGACAGGTATCTCGCTGGCCTCTGGGAAAAGAGTCTAATCCAAGACCTAGCCTGGTCCCCACTTTGTAATCCAGACAGACTGCCTCGACCAGAAGTCTATCGCGCCCCTTCATGGTCATGGGCGTCTATTACCCAGCAAATCATGATATTCGGGATTGTTGACACCGAAGCCATATGTGCGAGAGTACTCCGAGCACATACCGTCCTCGCTGGCCTCGATCCAACCGGTGAAGTCCTCTCAGGCTCAATCGTACTCGCGGCGCCCGTCGAGCCCGCGAAAGTAACTGGAGTTATTGCGGAGTCCTTTTACGTCAAAAGCAATAGGTCAGGTCACGATGTCAGGTTCAGTCGTGATTCGACGAGTGATCTTGAAGAGGGTACCAGCGAAGGAACATCAGTTTTGTGTCTTCGACTCTGCGGCAAGGGCAGATATCCAGCACACTCGAGGATAAATCTTGCTTTAGTTGCGGTTGATGATCGACCTGGAGTGTATCGTCGTATCGGTATTTGCATGGTCTCTCCAGGTCAAGATTTTTCTGAAGGGAGCTTTAAGCAAGAAATGGAAGTTGAGATTATTTAAGCAAAACTCGAACCCCCCAGCACTACTCTGCTCAGACAATTATCGGTCTATTAGCAGCAGCCTACAAAGCTATTTCAAGTGCGAAAAAAAGAAAAACCCAAATTCGGGATTTTATAGTTGCACATGACCGGAAGTAACCATAGAGAAAAGCAAAAAAGAAACTGGACTTAAATGCCCTCGCAACAATGCATAAACTTGGTATTGGATTTGGAGTGGGGGAACAGAAAGAAACTCAAGCCTAAATACCGTTATAGATAAACCCCCTCTCAAGCCTTTACTAATGAAGGCTCTCAAAGTGACTTATTGATCACCTTCCACCATCGCACCCACATGTGGGCGAGTGATTTTTTCTTAATTCACTACAAGACCCAATTTGTTCTGGCGAACACCGATCTCGCCTCGTGTGCGTCAGATGTGGAGTCGTCGAAGCGAAGGCGACGTGCAAAGGCGGGGATATCCACAGGCACAGACGAAGGTCGGGTTGTGGATTAGGAATATGTCTTGATTGCATTTGATGTTCTCTTGTGTACTTGCTCCTGAATGGTAGCATTTTCCAGAAATGGCAATAGTGAACACGTTTCAAATACTCCTTTGATCTGCAACAAACCGGCATGAATTCTTTCTTCTTGTCAGTGCACAATGCAATATCAATATTACAATCTCCCGCCCCAAAGAGGAGAGAAATCTCCACAGTTACAATCTTCGTGCTTTGACTGGCCCAGAATTGCTTTCTCCGGAGTTGAGGATGTCTCTAAAATACATCAAGTTCTAGCATGCGAAAGAAGAACAGCACGTTTACGCATTAATGGCTTCATCACAGAATATTTCAAAGAATTACCAAAATCATACATCAATCTCGTAGATTGCCGAATCCTCGAAAAGCTTGTAGGTGTTGCCAACTTGCCTGAAGCGACTCATACAAGTCAGTGAACATGCAAGCTTAGTGCGAAACGGTCTTTTGATTCGCTCAGCTGGGGAGAGCCTTATAGATCTGATAGCCTTGCTCCTACTTGAGGTATTTTATTCACGCTGACAAAGTAGCGCGGGGTTTGTGGTGGTTTGATTCGCTTAGCCGGAGCTTCAGCGTCGTTGAGAAGGATGGGAACAGTGCCAGGGCAGGCAAGAGCTGATGATTCTTATTATCAGATAGCAGGCAAGATGATTATTGCTTCACTTCACATTGCATGTAGCTCTCAACACACACAATTGTATAAATGCATCATATTTCATGCATCTATCAATCTCGTCTTCATTTTCTGTCCGCCTCCAGGCACTCGATCGATCAATCATCCAATTATCTCGTCATAACACATCTGGCTTCCTTCCGTCCTTGCTCGCTCGATTTCTCACCCCCCTCCTCCCAAATCAGAAAAGTTCCGCATCCGAGCCCCATCCGTCCATCCACCCACCAATTCAAATTCCCCTCCCTGTCAGCTTCACCTCAATCTGGCATTTTCATACCCACGCATGCCCTAATATAAAAGCAATCTGTTCGGGCCCAACCATCAACTGCTCTAAAAACACACAGCGGTCGCATTGCATTGCATCGCGTCTTTTAACCCCCCATCCACCACACATATAACCCGTGAAAATGCAAAAGTGAAAGCAAAACGCAAATCCCGAAAACGCCCTGTGCTAGGTTTCTCTCGCGACTGACTGGGAGTATGGAAACAATCGTGAAAATATGTGAAATGCCGAAGGAAGAACAGACTATCTTCCTGTTTTATGAAGTGCCTGAAAATTGAAGGCACACGTGAATCCCAAACGCCCGAATGCAGATCTTTTTTCTTTTGATGAGTAGGACTCGCATGTTGTACAGGGAAATAGAAAGGTCATTTTCGGTCTCAATTACGAGGAGAAGTTGGAGAAAATTGAGGGCTGAGGGTTTGTCAGTGGGGTTCAAGATGAACGGTAGTGCAGCAAGCTTACCTTGTGGGAGAATAGGAGGGACTGGTGGGAGAGTACTTCGGCGAAGTAGCAGCCCCACCTTGAGCAGGAGAAGTTGGACTCCAGTTGGGACTTGACGGACTGTAGACTGGACTGGTTGGGGAGAGCCCAGAGCCAGGGGAAATCTTGTTGCCAGCTGCGAAGTTTGGAGATGATGGGCTGTAGTTCGGCGAAGTGGGAGAGTAGCTCGGAGACGTAGGACTGTACGAAGGCGAGCTGGGCGAGACGTGAAGATTTGGAGACGTTGGCGAGTAGTTTGGAGAAGTTGGACTGTATGACGGTGACGTCGGAGAAACGAACGAAGGACTCGTTGGACTGTAGGCAGGACTGGTTGGAGTAAACGCAGGGCTAACAGGACTGAAGCGAGGGGAGGAGACGTTGTAACCCGGACTGGCAGAACCCATCATTGGAGAAGTTGGCGAATAGCCGGGAGATGTAGGAGAGAACCCAGGAGAGACAGGACTCGTGCTGAACGGACTTGCAGGAGAATAGCCACCACCAGGGCTTCGCACGGTGTATGGGCTCTGGTTGCTGAAGCCGGAGTTGTCGGTGTAACTAGTTTGGAATCCACCTGGAGTTGCCGAGCCACCGGTTTGGATTGGAGAGAAGTTCGAGTTGTAGTCTGGAGTGTTCATGGACAAGTAACCGCCCTCGGCCAAAGGAGAGCCAGAGTCATATGGTGTAGCAGCACCTCCATCAGCACCCTTGACAGTCAAACCAGGCATGAGACCCATTCTGCCATTATCAGAGATAACGGTCTCAAGCATCTTGGGGTCAAGGAGGACATCAAGCTCTCCAGTCCCCATAGGAGCAAGTTGACCAAGCATGACGTTCTCAGAGATGCCGCGGCAATCGTCCAATTCACCAACAGCAGCAGCCTCAAGAAGAATCTCCACAGTCTCTTCAAAAGAACATCTCATCAACGCACCAGTATCAGCACGATTGATACCGTGACGAGTGATGGCCATCAAATGACCTCGGGATGTCATGACATCAACCAGAAGAGCCAAATGACGATGATTGACATAAGAACCATCGAAAGACAGCACGGCGGTCAACTCACGCATCAGTGCAGAACGAGTACCTTCGATACCAAAGACCTCGAAAATCTGGATGAAGTGATTAGAGTACGTGCGTCTGGTATCGACACCCGGAACGGTCAAGACAGCGGCGAGCGAAGTTCCAGATGTATCGAGATACCATTCCTCGCAACGAGGATCATCCTTCTTTGCAAGCAGACCTCCCTCAGGAGTAACGATGAGTTTGGTTTCCTTATTCAAGAAAGCTCTGTCAACACCAGGAACACCACGTAGAGTGAGAGTATCAAGGATATGTGCCTCGAGACGCTTGAGCATTATGTCTTCCTCCACTTCCTCGTCATCATACTTGGAATCACTCTGCTTGATCATTCGGATACGTATAACTTGCTCCTCGGCGTTATTGTCACTGAAGATGACTGCCAAATCCTTCTGATAATTCTCCTTGATCTTCGAAGCGACATCCTCAACACGAAGACCCTTATCCAGCATCTTCTGGCGATCGAGGATGAGACGCAGAAGCCATCTAGACTGATTTTCAGGAGCGTCTTGAACATCATCGGGAATGATGAAGTACGACTCAACCATGTCCAAATCGTCCTCAATGGTGGTGGATTGAATATCCGGGTCGTGGTAAATCTCAGTAGCCGCAGTGACGGAACGCAGATTCGTGTGCTCTACAGCACTACGAAGGTACTTGGCCGATTCCTGACTGCCATAATTTCCTTCTTGGTAGACAACCATAGACGGGGTCTTGATGTTTGTGGCAACGTTGAGAATCTCCTTTAGACGGGGCACACCGAGGGTGACGTTCTTGGAAGACACACCTGCAAAATGGAAGGTGTTCAAGGTCATCTGGGTAGCGGGTTCTCCGATAGACTGAGCAGCAAGAACACCAACCATTTCACCAGGGTTAACCAGAGCTTTCGTGAAACGACTCTCAACTTCACCCAGAACATGAGCAAAGGCAAGCCTGTTGAGACGTTGATGGAGAGCAATACGCTTGAAGGCGAGGCGGGATCGAAGCTGTGCCTTGATCAACAACGTGGCGTTGTTCTGCGCTTCAACAGACAATTCATCGTCGCCACGAACAATGACCATACGGTCCAGCAATCTCTTGACTTGAGGAATGACCTCGGCTGGATGCAAGTCACTGCGTTGATAGTCATCAACCTTGAACAGTCTCCTGGCGCTGTCGATGATTCGGGCAATGTTCATTGGCAATTGCAGCAATTCATCGTCCTTCATATGGTAGTTGACCCAGCGGAGCAACTCACGATCGGCCTTGAGCGCATCCCATTCCTCGTCGAGAAGTTGTTGCACTTCGAGATCGCCAGCAAGCTCGTTTGCATTCTCCAAAAGTTCTGAGGAGACTGGGTTTCGCTCATCCATGACATCAAGACGGTAGCGGTCAGCGAACTTCTTGTCATCTATATTAATCATGTCGACCCTCTGCTTCTCGATGCAAACACCGTCGAGACCATCCTCACCGTAAATGAATTGCACAATGTCACCAAGGGAGTTTCGGACGGTGCCGTCATATTTTGCCATGACATCTTCCAATGCCTTCACAAGACGACGTTGAATGTATCCAGTCTCGGCAGTCTTGACTGCAGTATCGATCAAACCCTCACGACCAGCCATGGCGTGGAAAAAGAACTCAGTGGGGGTGAGTCCACGAAGGTACGAGTTCTCAACGAAGCCACGAGACTCGGGAGAGTAATCATCCTTTGTGAAATGAGGCAAAGTTCGGTACTTGAAGCCGAAAGGAATACGCTTTCCCTCAACGGATTGCTGACCGACCAAGGCTGTCATTTGGGAGATATTGATGGTGGTTCCCTTGGAACCGGATAGTGCCATAATAACCGCATTGTTATTATCCTTGAGACTGGCTGCAGTCTTGGTACCAGCTTGATCACGAGCAGTGTTCAAGGCCTTCGAGACTTGGGACTCGAAGGTTTCACGAACATTCATACCAGGAAGAGATTCGAGCTCGTTAGCAGTTGCCTTGGCGGTCAGGACAGCGACTTCATCTTTCTGTGTCTGGATAGCGCCTTCAATCTTTTCAATTGTAGCCTTGTCAGGGACAGTATCTCCAATACCGATACTGAATCCGTTGTGAAGAAGCCAGTAGTTGACGACACGCTGGCAACCGTTGAAGAAAGCCATGGCTCCATTAGAGCCCAGCTCGTTGAAGATGATGTGTATAATACCACCACCGCTAGCACCAATGTTCTTCTTAGTCATCAAACCAAACATGAGCTCTCCCTCGTAAATCAGAAGACCGTCATCCTGGAGAGGGGCATCCTCACGAGCGTCGCTGGGTGTGTGAAGGTTGACGACCTTTGGAATGATCATGCTGAAGATCTGCTTTCCAGTCCATCTTGGTCGTGGCTTGAGGATGGCCGGCTGGGGAATAACACCATCCCATTCTGGAACCCAGAGGAGAATGTTCATGAGATGCTCCTTCGCGATGAAGGTATCTCTTCTGCAGAGCTTGTAGACACCGGCCAGAGTATCCTGAACAATACCCATGAGAGGGGCGTTTCGCTGAGGGGAAACGATGTTGAAAGGAACCATACACAGCTGCATAACCTCGGCTCGCGTCTCCTCAGTCTGTGGAACGTGCAAGTTCATTTCGTCACCATCGAAATCGGCATTGTAGGGTGAAGTGACCGACAAATTGAGACGGAAAGTCGAGTATGGCATGACTTTGACTCTGTGACCCATCATAGACTCCTTGTGCAGAGAAGGCTGACGATTGAAGATAATGAAATCCCCATCAACGATGTGTCTCTCCACCTTCCATCCATATTCCAGTGAGATCGCGCCGGCTCGTCTGTGATGACGGAGATCGATACGGCTTCCATCAGTTCGAATAACGTACTTGGCACCTGGATGTTCGTTGGGACCATTCTGAACTAGTTGATGCAGCTTGCCGATATTGTATGGCGTCACAGTTTCAGGATATGTGAGTGTCCGCGCAATACTTCTCGGTACTCCAACCTCGTCCAAAGACAAGTTCGGGTCACCAGTAATGACGGTACGGGCCGAAAAGTCGACACGCTTACCCATCAAGTTACCACGCAGACGACCTTCCTTACCCTTTAGACGAGCACGAATGGACTTGACAGGTCTGCCAGACTTCTGCAGAGCCTGTGGCTGACCAGCAATATCGTTATCCATGTATGTAGCAACGTGGTATTGGAGTAGCCGCTCAAAATCTGACGCGACATGTGCAGGTGCACCCTCCTGTTGTGCCTGTCTCACGTTGCCATTTGCACGGATGATATCACCGAGCTTGTAGGTCAAATCGTCCTCTCCTCGCATGCCTTGACTCGTGCCGTCCATGGAAATACTGGGGCGAACAGGTGGAGGTGGAACAGGCAGCACAGTGATGATCATCCACTCCGGTCGTGCGTAATCGTTGCTCAAGCCCAAGTCAAAGATCTCGGAGGTAGAAATGCTTCGAAAAACGTTCAGAGCCATTTCTGGGGTGATGAGTTTCTTCTCCGGTTGCGCACCCTCGTTATCCTCATCCTTAGGGACCTTCCATGTACCAAAGAGCTCAAGAGCCGACTGGCGTACTTCCGGCTGAGTATTGCCACAACCTCCATGAGCGCGCTTGGCAGCTTCCTTAGGATCCTCGTTGAGGCCGTCTTCATTCGTTGACACATCACTATCACAGATCATCTTGGGCTTGCAAAGTCGCCATATCGTATCGAATCTTCTCTTGGGATCTCGAATATTGACTGCTGCTTTGTAGGCCGGATTACTCTGAGATGTTGATGTTAGCATAACGAAACAAAGAATCCGCCACGCCTCGCGGGCTACTGACTCTGTCAAGTAAGACTCTACCACAGTTGTGGCAGACTATCTCCAACAGCTTCTTGATCTTTTTGAGGAATCCAGGATGATACACCGGCTTTGCTAACTCAATATGACCGAAATGACCAGGACATTCGGACATATTCTGGTCGCAAGTGCCGCACTTGAATTGTCTGTCGATGGATCCAAGGCGAGGGTCGTTCAGTCCCGATTCGCGCGGCTTTGTTCGAGTCTCGTCCATGGTCTCAGGATACAGAATGTGGCAGACACTCATGTTCTTGATCTCCTCGGGAGATAAGAGTCCGAACTGGACCTCCTGGATTGTTCGCAGCTTCGCATCGGAGCGCGCAAAGTTGAGGTTCGCCATGATGGCGGTTGTTGATGTTCACCTTCGGTGGCGAACAAGGGGGTATTATCGCAGAGTCGGGCGCAAAGCAGTCGGGTCTCGAGCAGGTCGCAGAACAGAATCGAAGTCGCAGAAGGATGGTACAGGCAAAAGCAATCGAAGCGCACGATGGAAAGGAAGGTGTTGATGCGATGGCGCTGGAGGCAGCCAGGGCCAGAGGCCTGATCAAAGCCTTCAGATGTCCGACCGTAAAGAATCCAGCGAGGCGGCCGTGACGACGTAAAGAGTGTGGGTGGATGTTCTTTCTCGTGAGAAAGACCGTCGGAGAGAAATGCACGATACTGGACGCGCGATTCCTGGAGATGGGGTGTTGGTCGTGATGGTGTTGACGATGAATGGAGTCGCGTCCAGGAGAATCTCACGATGGAAGTTCTTGGGCTGCAAAGAGTTGCGGCTCTGAAGACCGCTAAGACGGATGCGGTGTTAGCGTCTTGTTTACCAGGTGTGGATGACTCTTCGCTGCACCCGGCGAATCACCATTGGGCTTGTGTGGTGCATCGCCTCCCGTCGTTTCAGGTAACAACAATAAAGCTTTGACTCTCCTTGTCTGTCCTTTGTCTTTGTGAACTTTGTGCTTCCTATCTTCTCATTGTTCTGGAATCCGCATTGTACCGGATCGAGTCAGGTATGAGGCCAATGTCCAACAACGTGTTCACCTACAACCCTGGCCCAACACCCCGAGTGACAGTCGCGTGATCATCCGCATCCACCTGCCATGGCATCTCAGGGTACCTCGCAGGCAAAGTCTATCCTCGAAAGGAAAGGCTGGCTGCTGGGAATTGTTAGAGATGCACTTCAGGTACACAGTGGTCAGTGAATAGTCGGCGGGCAGTCAGTTGATAACACTCAGAGTTGATTGGCGGCTGCGAGATTATCTGTTCAAGCAGTAAACTGCCTTTCCCACGATCTGTGTAGCAGTCTGGAGTGACGCCACATTTACCTAAAATGGGTTTGTTTCTGTACAGTTGTAGCTGCTGTGTGACAAAGCTTCATCTTTCCTTGCTACCCATTCTCACCCCTATTGTGAATAAGGCGATGTTTACCACTTCAGACTCATAATATACCTTCCGGACTGTCGAGAACTGTACAACATGGAAGACCTTGCAAGGTTCTCTAACGATTTTGCTTCATGAGGCATAAATGACCAATGAATATCATAACAGAATAGCCCAGAAACCAGAAGTCAAGATCATTTCCAACTTACCAGCTTCAAGCGAGCCCTAAGAAAACAAACATTCGTTTCCAAGATAACCAACTCCAACACCACGCCGGGACCTGCTACCTCTCTACCTCATAGTAACAATCTCCTCCGCACTCGTAGGATGAATAGCCACACACGCATCAAAATCCCTCTTCCTCGCCCCCATCTTAACCGCAACCCCAAACCCCTGCAACATCTCCCCCACCCCCAGACCCAACAAATGCAACCCCACAATCCTCTCTTACTCTCCCTCACACACGAGTTTAAACTCCGTGGGGTTCTTCTTCTTCTCTTCAGGAGAGGACATCTCATAGAAAAGAGCGGAGAATTTCGCATGGTAGGTTTTGATGTTGGAGGCGCCGTATTTGGCGATTGCTTGTGGCTCGGTGAGTCCGATGGTACCGATTTCGGGGTGGGCGAAGACGACGGTGGGGATGTTTTCGTAGGGGAGGTAGGAGTTGGAGAGGGATGGAGGGCCGAAGAGGCGGTTGGAGAGGTGTCGACCGGCTGCGATGGCAACTGAGTGTTGTCAGTTCAAGTTTCTAGCAAATCACTTCGACCAAGAGCCATTTACCTGGAGTCAACTCCATCTGTCCTGTCACATCACCAAGGGCATAGATTCCCTCAACGTTGGTGTTCTGATACTGATCGGCTACAATGTGCCCTTTCTCCCCAGTCTTCACACCAGCCACATCAAGATCCAGACTCTTGGTCTCGGGAGCCCGACCAATTGCCCACAAAAGCTCATTGACAACCAGCTCTTCGCCTCCCGGGAGAGTAAGCTTCAATACTCTTTCGTCTCCTTTGCCGTCACTGACTCTCTCGACCTCTGCTTCATGTCAGTCCTCACTGTCTACGATACTCCAAATGACTTGTGAGATGATAATCGATCATCAAATGAAAGACAGCACTGACTCTTAAACCCCTTATAGCCCCTATGAATCTTCACACCCACAGCTTCATACCTATTCCATCATCAGCCATCTTCACCAAACCGTTCTACAAATACCAGCCCACTCACCTCGCCGTCATAGTCTCCTGCACCATCGGATCAAACGTCCTCAAAAACGTATCCCCCCGAATAAACAAATGCACCTCCACCCCCACAGCATTCAACATCCCCGCAATCTCAACAGCGATATACCCCGCCCCCACAACAGCAATCTTACTAGGCAGCACCTCAATATCAAAGAACCCCTCATTCGTGATACCGAAATCCGCACCGGGGATATCTCTGGGTATGAGCGGATATCCACCACTTGCAATACAGATGTGTTTAGCTGTGTAGCGAGCAGGTCCGCTATCAAACAATTAGTTAATTTTCTCTCAACCGGTTCTCCGAAAAAGTCAAGATACGAACCTCCCATCCTCAAGCTCCACCTCCAACACCTTCTGCTCCACAAACTTCGCCGTGCCCCTAACAAGCTCAATCCCCTCTCTATCCCAATTCCTCTCATAAGCGCGGTTCAAGCCTCCAATATGCGCATCTCGCTTTTTCTTGAAGGCGGCGAAGTCGAAGGTGATGTTGGCGGGTGTGTCGAAGCCGTAGTCGCGGCTGTCGTGGAGGGCTTCGGCCATGGAGGCGAAGTTCCAGGTTATCTTTTTGGGGACGCAACTTGAGAGAGTTATTAGTGGGGAGTTGAGTTGATCAAGAGGTACTGATATGTGAAATAGAGGTACTGAGACATGAAAAAAACTGGCGATGCGGAAATTACAGCTTGGGAACGAATTCTTGAAAGTAGTAAGACAGAGGAAGAATATGGCTTTAGTAGGCAGATCGAAGATCTCATAGCAGAATAAACAAGAAGAGTATGCACATGGGCTTAGGCGTCAAAATGGAAGAACTCAATACCACTTTTCAATCACAAACTCTCAACCAAACACACCAATTGAGAACAAGTCACTTGACTTCTTCCATCCTCTCCCTCCCTCCCTACCTGCTCACATCCTCCCAACCGAACCACACACATCATTAAAAACCACCCAAGAACAACACTCACAGCCAAACAAAAGAATAATCCCATTTCAAACTCACCCAACATTAACACAACACCCCCCACTCAACCCATTCTCAATCAACAACGTCTTAGCACCATACCACCCCGCCGCCCTCCTCGCCGTCCCACTCCCACCACTTCCCCCTCCAACAACAATATAATCATATGTCTTAACCTCCATCGGCGCCATCTTTGCAACACCTCCAGAACTCGTCGAAAATACCCTCGTAGAGAAAACTGGTTTCGATAATGACTGCTGTAAGAGTGGTTGAGATGTTCTAAGCCTGGACGAAGAAGTAAACAAATGTTCCGATAAACCTCTCAATCGTTCCACAGCAGCGCGCATGGTCTTTATATAGAACACGCACTGGTGGCCGTCTGCATGTAGACGAGGTCTGCAGGCAACACCATACATATGTGTGTAAATTGGTATGCTGGATGGATTGGGCTGGACCCAAGCGATTCCGTAAGCCGAGTGCAGGCTTCGGTTAGTGGTTGCCGTGCTGTCAACGGCTGCTGTGAGACGCTGGCTTGTGATTTCTCATCGTGTGGCTGCGCTGCGCCTATGACTTACCTCCGGGCGAAAGTCGCTGTTAACGAATAGGCATAGTGGCCTGTCCGAAATGATTTATTGACCTACAGGAGACTTAATCTTGTACAGTACCGACCTACAGTACACCCTTGTGTGGCGGGGTCTAGTTGAGCAGCTAGCTTCTGCATCTGGGGTTAACCTTATGCATTTGGAATCAAGACAACCTGTTTTGGGAAGAATAAAAGATCAACAATTTTATAGGATTGATTGAAATGATCCTACATACGAAAAAGACGTATCGCCATGCGTCGTTTCCTTCATGCCAACCATGCACCACCCCGCCCATCCTACCCAAAACTCCGTATAAAATGAATCGCTGATCAACGACGTCTTTTCTTCTTGACCCCTTCGTCTGCACTACCCACAATCTCGCCACCATCAAGAGCATAGTTCCTCCCATCCGTCGGGCTCTTCCTCCTCATCTCTCCTCGTCCCACGGCAACGAATTCCTCTTCGCTCTCACTGTCCATCAGATCTAACTGCACCGGCATCCTGAAAGCATTCTCTTCCTCCAAAATGCTGCCTTTCACTGGTTCTACGGTAAGAACGTCAATATCGTCATCTTCCGCATCCAGTCTCCGCTTGTGAATCTCTTCCTGTGGATGTATATCAAACTCGTCCTCGTGCTCAATATACTCAACGTTTTCCTCGACTTCCACGAAATCTGGAGCCAGCGCTGACCATCTCTGCTGAGGGATGATGGACCAGATATTGATTCGACCAGACTCCAAGCCGCATGCTACTATCATCGGCCGGTGAGGATGCCATTCCACAACACCATGTTCCTCCTTCGGACCTTCCAGGATCTTGACCAGCGAGCCATGGTTCCGCTCCCAGATGTAGATATCATGGTTATTATATGTACTAGCCGTAACGTATTCTCCCGTCGAACTAAAAGCCACATGGTTCCAGCTCAGCCTATTTACCACGTCCTGGAATTTATGTTCTATCTCCAGATCAATCGTATCAGGATCCAAGTCCGGCGCCGAAAAGTTCGGCAGTGTGATAGTGCGAATAATTCGATCTGCAGCATTGACAACCAAATCTCTTCCCGAGCTCGTGAGTCTTAGGTATACCACAATGCCCGTACATATTTTGGTCGAGTAAATCGTCGTTCGTGTAGAGGCCTCAATGACATTCAACCAGCCCTTGTTTGTACCCGCCAAGATGTGGTCCCCGGTCGACGTAAATATCGAGACTGTCGTAGATTGTTTGGCGTCCTGCGCGGCCTGTTTGTCGCTTACCAGATCATCGCCTTCTAATTGTGCGCGTTTTGGGACAGAGGAGAGGTTCATTTTGATTACTTGAGTGCCGGAGGCATCGACAAGGAGGGGTTGGGCGTCGAATAGGGCAACAACAAACATAAGGCTATTCAAAATCAGCTAGCGCTCTGCCAAACCTGTAAGTAACCTACTGATTCCACGGATGAAGCTCTGCAATATATACCGGAGCTTCGAAGCGTACAGTCCGTAATATAAGCCCCTCCTGGAGATCCCAAATATTGCACTTCCAATCCTGGCTCCCTGTGAGCAGATATCTGCCATCGCGCGACCAACTCAGCGACTGGACCTGCCGCGTATGTCCTTTGAGCTTCCGTGCTACTCCATTAGTCTCGACGTCGAAGATTACCACTGTCCCATCTACGCGTCCAGCCGCAAGAAAGTCGCCTTTCCGATTATATCGTACACAGGTTGCATGGCCTCTTCGCAGATGTGATGTCTTTGATTCTGGGTAGTCTTGTGAAAGAATGAACGGGTCCACGAGTGAGAGATTCATTGTAGTCGCAGCGGCAGGTGTTGAGTTGTGGTGGTCCTCTGTGCTTTTCTGAGGAGGCGTGAGGCTGGAAATTGTTCAGCAGCGGCAAGCTAAAACGAGGCTGAGTCACGTGGAATCCAGAAAATTATGGTGTTCGCGATTTTTCTCGTCAACGAGGGAACTCCTTCTAGGTAAAGTAGGTGCTTTATTGTATTTGTCTCTACCTAAATAGGCTCTCTCACAGAAAGTGTTGAAATCAAGAGACGGATGTTTTCAAACAAACAATCAGAAGCTCACAGGTCCGATGGTCCATACTCTCCTTGGTTCTTGGCTACGCTCTGTTTACTTCTTGAGGAGCATGAAGAGAATTTTGTCGCCGAAGTACGATATTCGTGATTTATGTGTCAATCAATGTTCGCAAATATGCTTTCCACAAGAAGTCTCCTTAAATAGGGTTAAGCGAGATGGCAAGCTCGCCTCTCAACCGAGAGTAAATAAACAAAAAGTACGCTGTCCAAAATTGAAGGTGCTGCGGTCCTTGCACATTCTGGATGTACCCTATTTACCTATTTCGTAAATTCTTTATAGATTCCAAATACGATATTTCAAACAAATTCATATTTCATCAGATAAACGAGCGATGTTGAATGGCCATCTGTTTACCTGATTATTTCTACGGTGTTTAACATTGAGCACTGAAACACGACTTATACTTATAAATCTTGCTCGCTCTCCTCGTCAGAAAGGGTGCTACCGAATAGGCTCTCCAGATCATCCCCAATCTCTTCATTCTCCTCCGAATGAGCCATTTTAAGGTCTGCGCCAGCCATTGCTGCTTCCCAGTCATCGATATCCTCGCCATCGAATAAATAGCCTCGAAATAGGGTAGCATCAACTTCATGCCTATTATCCTCCATATTCAATTCCCCGATATCTGATCTGCAACACAAGAACTTCATGTCCGGACGGTCTTGAGTGTTGGCATAAGTCCCAAGGAATACCTCTACTGTATCCAGACGACAGCCCACTTTGTGGCCGAAAATAAATGGTGCAACATCGTTGATCATCTTGGCATCTCGACTAAGGTAACATCGTTCATCATCTTTGTTTACAGTCTTCACGAAAAGCCGCAACACTTTGAGACAAGCGAATTTGCTCAGAGCAGAGAGGAAATCGTATGACTACAATGGCAAAATATAGGTGTTAGAGAAGCACATGGAGATCCATACTGGAAGCTATGCTTCCCAATTCATGCATTACGAGCATATCAATTATAAGTGAGGATATGTTAGGACAGGAACCCGAGATTTCATGTAGATCATGGCGATTGAGGTGAAATTCGATGGGGATTTCTTCTTCAATATATGGCAGTCGTGCTTGCTGACGAAAAAGGCCTTGGAAACTTAACACTCGAAGATCAGTTCCCACATGTGTAAGAACTGCCGATGAGATCTTAGTTGAAGAATTGATGACCTCTAATTCATTTAAATTCGGAAGACGCAGGATGAAACTGCTCAGTGCCGTGTCAAAATCCGATCCGTCAGCATGGAATGCAAGATATGGGTGTTGAAAGCGCTCCACCTTCAGAGTTTTGAGGTTGTTCATATGGCCTGTTGTCGTTTTGAAAAAAGCCAAAATCTGCCGACCACGTATTTCCAAGTGCTGAAGCTTGTCCCAGTTCCAAAAGGTGCGGGGTATGGACAAGACACTCGTGCGTTGGCGGTTCGATTCAAAAACAAGTTTTCGCAGCCCGGATAATCTATTGGGTGTCTGCAGATGGAACTCTTGAGCTGCGTAGGCCCTCTCGCTTTCCAAATAGAAAGGATCTTGACTTGGAGCTTGCAATTGTAGCACTTCAAGGTTTGGAAACAATACTGCTAGGTCCATCCAGCGGCGTGTGGCTACAGGGTGCTCGGAGTGAAGTATCGCCGAAATGGAAGAGATGTTGTGACATCCGTCAATACCTTCCAATAAAATGAAATCATCTTCATTGATACCGATAACCGGAGAGTTCTGTCTAAGAGGTATTGGCAGTCCTTGAAGGTGTAGACGTGTCTTCGAGAACCGTGACTTCAAGAGGTCTAAAATTGAGACAGGAATGGCTTCTGTCCATGAGTACCAGCTGGGAGTGAGATTAGAGGGTCTACTTGGCAATATAACAAGACTGTGATAGTAGTCGTACATAAAATAAAGTAGGTTACTGAATTCTACCACCAGAATCCGCAATGCTTCCCAATCGAAACCTCCTCCTGATACAGTCAGTTCTCGAGTGAACATACAGACATTTCGTCGCAGAGTCAACGGTCCAGACTCAAGTGTGCGCAGCTTCGAAGCCGTGAGTTTGAGCTTTTTGTACTGAAAGCAGATGGACAGCCGACGCATGCTTTTGTTGACGAGGGTGAGGTTGGAGAAAACTAGAGCGTCCCGTGTGCCAGTCTGTGCAATCCCAGATGAGCTCATATTCTTCGGGGACTCATCTCTAGATTCCGCGAGACTTGCTTCACTAATTATCATCGACAAGACCTCATCCGATAATGACATGAGATTTCGAGCCATGATGAGATTGATTCTAACAAATGTGCTAATAGGGCTGCAGCACGGTCACAAAAACTTGCCTAGCGTTCATATTGAATTTCCAACTGTTTGGGTTACAACCTGGAGAGAATACCGCTGTAAATCTTTTGGGTGGAAGATGGCGTGGAGATTGTTGGAAAAATCCTCCAGGCTCCAGTAGAGTCACCAACAACTGAAATATACATCATGTGACAGCGGGGAACAACACTACTTGCCATTATCCGAGGGGACAGACTTCCCCTACAATCGTGAATGATATATCCAAGTTTGGACTAAAAGCTTAGATAATGAGGCGGGAAAAGATTTTGAATTGCAATATAATTCTGTTCTCTTGAGCAAGGCACATTTCTAAATCCCAAAAACCATCGAAAAAAAGTACATGAGGAACGTGGTTATGGCATTGGCAGACGATTGGGAGCTTTCCTAGATCATGATTGAAGCATAATATATGATGAATTTACAGAAAGTCAAACACGGTTGAGTCCCACCTGATCTTGTACCCTGTGTAAAAATCATCAGCGAAATGACATGGGTCGCGTAACACTCGTAAGTCACAAACCGTACTTACACTGCGCAAAATTGAAGGTCCACGTTGAGGAAACACAAAGAAATTTGCACTTTGTTGTATGACAGTCGAAGCTTTAACTCTTTTCTATCTTCTTTGTTGCTTTGAACAAAGCTGCAGTGTTCGTGACCTCGCTTAAAAGGGTTTGTTGACCATCGGATAAAGGGTACACTGCACTGTGCGTAACATATTGAACAGCACCTCGAACAGCACCATGGTTGAATTCAACAGTACATATTTAAACCCGGTGGTTGGGCTTCTGATTTTTGAGGGACCAAACCTTGATCAACTTACCTTCGGAATGGCTCTACATGTAAACAAGCTTCGTACCTTTATTAAATATCTCTCAAGATCTCCAACTCAGATTGGTGATGTCACTCGACCGGTAGAAGTAAAAGAACGGAGAATTTCCAGCTGTCCACTTGCTGAAAGATCTATATTTAGCCCCGCAGATCTCCGGGAACGAGAAATTCGCATGCTTCTAGGCTTGTTCCAAATTTCTGAGTTGCGTGCCGATTTGGTCAGCCGCTACAAAACCGGAAGAATTGATTCCAGTGTGATCATAATGAGTGATCGGGAAGCCGAAGAGGAGATAGATCGGACATTCGAAGCCATGATCAGGAAGCTATCAGAGGGTTCTTTCCACATTCGCATCATAGGTGGCAATATCTCAACTATTGACAGGAAAGTTGTAGCATGGTCAGTCTGTCGGGATGAGTGGGAAGTCTGGCGTGACACTTGGATCTGTCACAACCTCATCAGACAGTACACTCGTAGTGGATTTACTCCTATAGAAGCTGAGGTGAGAGCAATTCTACTCTACCTCGAGTGCAATGAGCCGAAACCTGGTGACGGACATAACAGACCAGGGCGCAAAGAAGTGAGAGTAAGCTCGAAAGGTATCCTACACAATCACTACCAATCGCTGCGTGAGCAATGGCACAACTGGGGCCGGAAGAGCACCGATGGTGATAACCGTCTCAATTGTATGGCGTTCGATGAGGCGCAACGACTAGATAGGGCTATCATGCCTGTTGAGCAGCTACGACACTAATTGCTAAACCCTAAAGTACACATACAAATCCTTTTCCGGCTCTTACGTAGGTTTCTGCATACACTTAACAAAATCAAAGAGAACATTCAAAGCCTCATAGTATTGTTCCCAAAATACTACTTTGAAATTAATGTGACTATAAATTATCGTAAGTACCACAAACTTGACATCTTAAGTTTTAAAATTACGCAAAATTGTGCTTCAAGAATATCCAAAACGCTAGATAGGAATCAATGAAACTGTTCTCAAAGACAATGGTTCACCATCATTGCGGTAGCCAAAAGCTGCTGAAGAAAGCCTTGTTTTGACTGTTCTTAACACCAAAACAAATGACGAGGTTGTTGCAAAGCATTGTCTCTGAATTTATAAGGTCTTCTACATGCCACATCTTTAGCAAACTAAAATTCTTCAGCGTACCATCTCAGCGCTTAAAATCCCAGCTATGAATTCGCCAGAAAAATTTATCTCTAACTCAAGCAGAAGACGATGTGCTAAAGGAGGTGAGTTAACAGATGACTTAAGTAATACCGACGGTACTGACAGTCAGTCCCCTAGCCAGACCTCTAGCCCTTCAGTCCAAACAAGTTCGGGTTCACCCCAACCCGGCCAAAACATTGAGGCTCTTGGTCCAGGAGACGTATTTCACGCAGCTCAAGCTCTTCGCAGACAGTTCCCAGACGAAGAGCCACCTGAGTTTAGAAGCAGAGCAGGATCACTCAGTTCGCTCCCCAGCTACACAGATGATGAGCGCCCGCCTTATCCTCACGATCACCAGGTCAACGACGATTGGATAGTATTGATGATGTGGCTGATAAGTGATTGGCGTGAATCGGCAATAGCCCGACGCATGCCCCCCATTCAACCCGGCGACGACGTGGCAATGATCCGACGTCGAGCCGAAGTTGAAGTAGATAATTGGTTCGAGATCGAAGGAATTGTGCGACCAAGACAGCAGGCACGAGTTGAGCTGGCTGGTTACAACGGCGAGTGGACACAGTGGCTCGGCTCAGTCCGCCGTCTGAATCAGCTCCATCGACGTCGTAGAGAAAACGGACACCAGGAGACGGAAGAGGAGAGCGAGGGCGAAGTAGACTTGGATTTCAGAATCGCGTTCGGCCGTCGCCCACCTGGACTCCTCGCAACTGCCCCAGTGCGTGCGGAGACCGAAGTCTGGGAGAAATGGCTAGAGTCGGAAGAGCGCTGGCCCTACGGGGTTTTTCATGCAGACAACGTCTGTAAATTGTCTGCATTTTGTCTGCATTCCTAGTAGTAGTAAAATATAGTAAAATGAAGACAAAATTCAGACAATGTCTGCTACAATTTCATCAAAAAAATGCAGACAAATTAGCGTGTGTCAGGGTACGAGAGTTTAGGTACCTCAGACTTTTCATGTTTCGATATAAAGTTAAACACAGACCTTTTACTACTTACCTCCGGAACACTCGGAAGGGAGACCTACCTTAGGAGGGAGGGAGACCTACCTTAGGAGGGAGGGAGACCTACCTTAGGAGGGAGGGAGACCTACCCTAGGAGGGAGAGAGGGGGGCAGGGAGGGAGGGGGGGAGGGGGGAAGACCTACCTTAGGAGGGAGGGAGGGGAGAAGACCTACCTTAGGAGGGAGGGAGGGGGGAAGACCTACCTTAGGAGGGAGAGAGGGGGGAAGACCTACCTTAAGAGGGAGAATTACCTTAGAGGGAGACCTTAGAGGAGGGAGACCTTAAGAGAGAGAGTAGGAAAAAGGAAAGGAAGGAAAGGAGAGGGGGGAAAAGGAGAGGGGATATTTAACTTTATTAGTCAGAAAACTCTTAAAATACAGACAATAGCTGTATTTCCCTTAAATTACAGACAATATCTGCATTTTCACTCTAAATTTTTAAAAATCGATCAAAATTAGAGTTTCTAGCTGAGAAAAATACAGACAATTAACTAAAATGCAGACAGAAAATCCGTCTAAAATGCCTGTTTACAGACAATATCTGTAAGAAGTGCAGACAGTGTCTGTAAAAAAACCCCCGTAGGGTGGGGCCAGATCCGTATGAATATCCTCGAGGAAGGAGATACGATGCAGCGAGCTGAAGAGCGAGCTGATGAAGACCACGAGGATTTTGTAGGACAGCGCCCCTTCTACCTCCCATATGGGTACGTTTACAAGAGGGATCCAGTTCCTAGACCGGAGCGAGGTAGCTACGACTGCATCCGGCATCAGTCCTATCGGGATACTTTTGCTCTGGCAGGAGCTACTGCAGAGCAGCTTGAGGAATTCTTTGATGGATTCTACATCGAAGAGAAGCAGCCTGACGAGGAGTTCCAAGAGCAAGACTCTGCACCACCGATTCAACCTCCCCAAGGTTCACGCTCCTCTCATTGATGGCTACCGCTGTCTCCAAAACCGAACCCGACGACTTTCACTAATGTTTCCGGACGAACTCGTAAAATCATCATGCCAGAAAACTCGCGACTACATTTCGATACCAATAAACACTCAGATTGCATTCACTTTCGTCCACTTGAACATTAAAGCTGACAGGGAAAATTTCGCACTATAGTAACCGAAACACGAGGTCTTTCATAATTTCAACACGAGAAGTGATCACTGGTCTTGAATCAGATATCTGGAACGGTACTTGTACAAAACGACAGACACTTCAGACATGTATGTTACAACTTATCATGAATAGAAACATTCGACTCCTTCCCAAACATCTCATAGAAGGCGGCCGGCGCGGGTATCTCCTTGGCGCCCTCAGGCCTCGTCAAATTCCGACCCATCATCAATGGAAGAGAATGCTCGTCTTGCCACTTCACAATGGCATCAAAGTCCCTACACTGCCTATTGACAAAAAAATCCGGGTATGGCCACTCCTGTGTCTCCATCCAATTGAACGTCAAAACGTCCAAACTGCCCTGACACATCAGAGTCTGCATCAGCATATCCGTGCAATGCGATACGTGAACCCAGTGCAGTTCCGAGTATGGCTTCTTCCCGTGATCCTCAGAACGGCCATATTCGACCCATGCTATGTTTCGTAGAAGGTTCAGGCAGTGGATTTGGTGGAATATATCGAGTTCGGCGACGTAGGCATCTGGGCCGAGGCCGTACTCTTCTGGGAATTTGGCGACGAGTTCTGGGTCTTTGCCGAGCTTGCGGACTTCTTCGGCTGTGATGGGAAATGTGCGGATGTTGTCGATTGCTTCCCATGCAGCATCAACTGCTGGATCGGGTCTGCGGGCATTACGGTAGGGTGAGGGATTGGGAGATTCGAATAGACTGCCGTCTGTTTGCTTGACCGATGTTTTGATGTCCAATTTCTCGAGAACTGGGGCTATGTAAAGCTAATGAGTATATGCGCCATCCACCGAACTCATTTACTTACAAAAATACGATGTTTGCTTCAGCAGCCAACGCCGGTCACGGGAGTATATTTTGTCATCGTTCACCTCACGAGCGAGAACGACAAGCGAAACGATAAAGAGAATGATGTTCAGTAACGTCAATATCCAATAGCGACGATCCGCCCTTTGTTGTCTCCTTCCTTTGTACTGAGCTTGTTGGTAATCGTCCAGCGAGGAAGGCAAAAGATTCTCAACCGAGCCGCTGTCCTTCTCCTCCTGTGACGCTCGGCTCTCCGACGAAGAACGAATCCAAGCTGGAATCATTGTGATGCCCTCTGCGGAGAATGATTTTCGCAAGTAGTTTTCGCAATCGAGAATGCCAAATGAAAAGTAAAATCAACTTTCTAGTCTCATGGTATGAAGTGACGGGCATAGCAGTGCGATTTTCTTAGGCTCTGAGGCAAACAGCCACTCGGTCTGCTCCCGGGATCAGCGAGCTTGATGTGACGTGCAATATCGAAAGACAATGCCAATTCAGGCAGGTAGTTGAGACAAGCTTATCGCTAATGCAGCACTAAGACACTTGTGTTGACATTGGCCAGCCTCGGGCTCCAGATGCCCCACTACCACTATACGATCTCCATAACTGGAGGGGTAGGTGTTGCGTATAATCTGCACATAAGATTCGAAAACGGTCAAGTACCGATTAATTGCCCAGCGGAGTTGGGCAAAAGTCGAAGACGACCTTCCTAAACGGGACTAGATATGCGCAAGGTAAGTTATTAGGCTGACGAGATGTGTCGATTTCCAATGAGAGCATTGAAGTAAGGTGTTGATCTACGTGCTGTCAATCTTCCGTGTCAGCATGAACAGACTCCTTCCAAAGGTGGTAATCTCTTCATCTGGCTGGCACGTCAGAGTTGTGTTCGGTGCTTCCTCTTGAAGTTAGACTGCAAGTAAGCAGTATCACAAAGCTCAGAAACACTGCGGCAGACGTGTTCCGAAGCTGAACAATGACATAGACTTGCTTACAGATTCTCAACATCTTAAATTGGCGGAGCCCTCTTCTTCTCACGAACATCTGATCATAGCCAAGACAAAGACTTCATATCTCGAGTCCCAATCACGACGACCCAAAGTAAATCACCATGCTGTTCAAGAACTTTTTTGTCGTTGCCACTAGCCTGGTAGCTCTTGGCGGAGCTGCACCAGTATTAGGTATGCAAGAAAGTCGTCAGAGAAAATATGTTCTGACAAGAACAGCACCTGTTGAAGACCGCGCAGCAGCACCAGCCAATGTATATGGCCAAGCCCACACTCTCAAGTTGGCCGATGACGAGTTCAAGAAGCGCGAGGCACTCCCACAGATTAACGCATATGGACGTGCTCATACTCTCAAGATGGCCGATGATGCTTTCAAGAGGGAGGCAGAGCCGGCGAACGTCTATGGACAGGCCCATACTTTGAAGTTGGCCGACGACGAGTACAAGAAGCGCGATGCACTACCGCAGATTAATGCATATGGCCGTGCTCACACTCTCAAGATGGCCGATGATGCTTTCAAGGCTTGAATAAAGGAGTGCGGCAAAGAAGGAATTCAGTTGAGGAAATCAGGCAACAGGAAATGTCATGTAATAATGGACAAGCTAGCAAATAACGGGATGTCCAGAAGAAATAGCTGCTCAGCGAACAACAGTTCGCGAGAAGGAATGTTCTCATGATGAGCCGTGACAAGCCAGACAGAAGTGATGCATTGGTCTTCCGATCCCTTGCCTCAGACACTTGAGCGGGCGTCACTGAACTTTCAGTATGCTGTAACCACCATCGATAAAACCTGAGCTTTACTCCATCTGTATCTGTGAGTTTACGGTGCTGCTGACTCCACTGGGAAGACTGTCGTTGATGTCGTCGTCGTCGGTTGATGCTTGTGAAGCCGATCAATCTGTTGTTGTGATACAGAGAGCTTACTAAGCAGTCCTAGCGTGTCAGCGGCGTGTATCTACCTTCCCAGCCCGTCGTCTTGTCCCAATTCTTCGTCGTTGATACCAGCAAAGGTTATGGAAACTGCTCTATCATGTCCTTGATAACGGACATTCTATGGAAATTACGAAGAGTTTTACGATCATTCTAACGCCATTCCAAAAGCCGTAGCTATTTCCGAATCTGCACTTGCTTTTGCGAAGCTTGATGAGACACGATTTCGCAAGCAAAGGCTCCTGCAAACGATGCAGCCCTATAGACTTCATGCCGGCGGACGAACTCTCCGAGTGAGCGCAGGAGCGGAGGTTGTGATTCAGGCGTATCGAAAAAGAAGGGTTACCGCATGTTCAGGTCACTGAGATGGGCGAACAATTGCTTGGAATACAGCTCAGGAGATGCTAGAGAATGGGGACCACAAGGACAGCATGATATGCAGCTAGATCTGGGATCTTGGGTCTGAGAAGTTGTTCGTCGGAAGCCTTCGCAAGTAAGTCGTTGTATCAGATAACGGAAGTTTGCACTTTTTTTTTTTTTGAAGAGCCGGGCGAGGAGCAGACCTGCATGAAAATGCCGAAGATACGGCTCTCCGCAGTTTGCAGAAGCTATGCTAGCAGTGGAACCAGAGATTCCGGCCGCGCGAGAGTACTCAGAGCAACTATCAACCTTGTACCTGCTGGAAGTATTGGACGACAACCGAAAGCTGAAGTGATAGGGAGCCGAAACGATTTAATGGAAAGGAGGACTACGTAACAACGAAAAGCTCCTCCGAGCTGGTGCACTCACTGTGGGACAGCTACGTCGAGCTTTGGAGTACAATCTTTGCGTTATGCTTTGTCATTGGGTCCCCTCTATCCCATAATCGTTCACCCGGTCATCCATCACCCCAGCTCACTCGGAAAACCGGAATTTAGCAATAGTGCTGGCCATGTCTTTTGCAATAACATCGTCAAATCCAGTCCGGATGTGGAAAGATCCCGACCACATACAACCGTCCTCGTCCTGAGAGATGTTGTCTCTGAAGCCATATGCATGCGGATTATCCAGCACCTTCGAGAAGAACGAGTGGACGTCATACAGCACAACTTGTCCCTTCATTTGGTCAGCAACGAATTCGTCAGTCAAGTACACTACCACAACTTACGTCTGGATGGTCATCCTGGAATGCAGCGACGTGCTTCGGCAGGTTTTCGTTGAACACTTTGATCATCTTTGCGTAGTGCGCAATTGAGCCAGCATCACCGCCGAGGATAAATGGGCTCCTGTCCAGTGGCGGGTTATTCACAATGAAGAAGTTTCTTGCTCCTGTCTTCCACATTTTTTCGAGAAGATCTGAATAATGATTAAGTCTAGGGAGTAACACGGATGAGTCGTTCTTAATCCACTGGATAATGATCAGCCTTCTGTTCGAAAGACGGCGTAAGGCTTCCACTCACAGCATCGCTGACATCATTAATCCCAATCCAGGAGGTAAACAAAGTGTTCGACCCTTGCCAAAACTTCTCTTTCGAGTACTTGGGCTGATACAGATTCTCCACTTGATACGTGTAATTATCTGGGATCGAGGCTCCACCGACGGCGAAGTTGTAGGTCAAAACAGGGCTCCTATTGTACTTCGCCGTCAAGAATTCGATCCAGACAGGCCCTTGGGCACTGGTTTCATTCCCGAGGTCAGAATTGCCGAGAGGGTTCTTCCGAGACGGCTGTGCTCCATTGATGTCGAAATTGGTGGAAGTGTATGAATCTCCACTGCACGAATGTCAGTGTCCGAAGCCTCCTCCAAATCAAATTTAGGTTTACGCACAACGAGAATATGTACTTCGGCCCAGACTTACCGAGAACAACACTGGCTGGGAGACCAAATGTTAGCAAGGCTGCTGCGAGGACGGAAATTAATATCGGTTGATTGGAATGCTACCCACTTTCGTCATGTACCTTCTCTTCACCTTTTTTCCACTCTGGTCCTCCACCCATTCTGATATGTTTCTTGGTCCTCTCGAGGCTTGTTTCATACCAGTCCAGACAGCCTGCCGTCTTTAAAGCCCCCTTGTTCCGGGGATTCAATTTTATCTCAGTCACGTCAACAAAAACCAGACACCGAGCTCAAGGTATACTGTTTCTTGAACCGGAAGTCATCAAACAACTCAATTACACATGTGAAAATCATTGTGGCGGAGGTTTCGACGTCGTGGCTTCACTGTCAACCTCAAACGCTGCTTACATGATACAACGTCAATGCGGGTCAAGCAAGCGGCCAAACTCCATTCGTCAACACAACACCAATGGAATTACCGATCATCGACCTTCGGCATGGCATCTGAGGTGGGTCAGCTTGAAGTGTATTACATCACCTCTGGTGAGGAGATGAAGATGCTGGGAAGATATAATTTCTGAAGCCTTCCGTGCAGTTGCTGTTTATTCTGGTGGTGCTGTAGTTCAATTGCTGGTCTGGGGATGGTCACCTTTGGAGAGTAGTCCATGTTCTTCATTTACGCCTCTAGAATTTGCTAATTTTCTTGATGTTTTAGTCATTTGTAGTTACACTATGTACAATTATCCGCCTCGCAGTATCGCGTGTTTGGACAGTCCCAATATCGATAAAAACATGTCGCCGTATCGCATTCCTTTATTAAGCATGTGCTGGGTATCTCTATCCATGGTGTCATGATCCTTAACTCATCCCTTCGTGTACGTATTAAGTTTCCTACAGATCTTTTTCCCACAACTAGAGTTTGCTAGCATCAGAGAGCGTGTGGAGTCCCGTCAAGACATCTAATAGTAGACGTCCCATCGTCATCGGCGGCTGTCTCTTCCTCGCCCGACGAGTCGTTATCAAGCGCAGACTTATCAGATTCAGAGTCCTCGGTGGATGTCGCATCCAGGAAGTCCGCTGTAAACATCCCCACGACACTCCGTCTGCCGGAATCGCGTTGATATGACATCGGTGGTATCACCAGCAGCTGAATTGGACTCGGCAGTGGGGGAAGCTCTTTTGAACTCGTTTCGATCGCTGGCATCGCTTGTATCTCCTTGACCTCGAACGTCCTCTCCACGAGAATTTCGCTTTTCGACGACACGGCCGAACACGCTCTTGTCAATGGTGCATGCTGCACCATTGCATTCAGCTGCACAGTCCTTGTCTTGGAGGTGCACATAGTTGTCGTCTGTATTGTCTCGTATGCATTTGGACTTGGAACGCGGGAGTTTGATTGGAAGGAGTCGGGCACGAGACGCTTCACGAGCGGACGGAGGGCTGACAATGCTACGCAAATAACTCCGACATCAGCCTCGACTGTAGACCAGTTCAATGGCGTTACAGTCTTGACTACAGAGAGTGTTAGTTCTAAACTGGGTGCCAAAACCCCGGTACTTGACTTACATGAAATATCCAGGCTGTCCAAGTGGTCCAAATGAGTAAGTCTCAGAATGCTTGCCACTGATGCACTATGAGATATCAGCATGCAACTTATAAAGCAAATTGGGTTCAACGCCAGAGAGTCTTACAAAGTACCCATGCAAAACAGGAGACACAGGACAGCTCGTTGTGCTTTCGGCATTTTCAGCGACCACAAGAGAGGAACTGGCAGAATGCAAAGAAGGATATCGGTGATAACATTGAAGGTCGATAATGACAAGAAGAACGTCTTGATCGGATGACATTGCCCCTTCACGCTGTAGTTCCATGCAGCCTGAGCAGGGACACACTGGAAGATAATGGAAAATATTGAGCTAATCCAGAAGAGCAATATCACAACAGCCAGTGCAAAGTTAATTTTTCGTGCAATGCCTGGTGGGAGAAATCGGACGTATGTTGCCATTATCGATAACTTGGTGAACGTGATGGACGTCGTGTAAGAAAGATAACATCCATAAAGCGACTTCACTATCCTCGATAGGCTCGATAGAATTGATTCCAGAGAGCCATCGCCAAGATTCCAGAGGTGGATTCCAAGACCATACCTGTCGCCGACGATAGCGGATATAGATAAGCAGAGAGAAAAGACGACGGCTACCAACAGAAGTACTATGGCAAATATTAGCATGTAGAATATATAGGAATCGTTGCAATACGCACTGTCGTCAAGCCCGCCAGACCGAAGCATATGAAATCGAACCCAGAAGCGCAGTGCTGAGGTAGAAACCACAAGAGCAATTAGTACGCTGTTCAGCTTGATGATTGTTGAATGAAGCGAGCCGTTATCTATCTTCTCGCCAGTGAAGTATGGGATGAATTCTGCAGGTATGGAGTTCGACATGTTGTTGACCTGGAAACCTTAAAATCCTAAAAGAGGAAAACGAGAGAATAACTCAGGATGAACGAGTCGTGTCCAGAACCCCGAATATTTTGAACAGAATGGGGGCGTTATACAACATATACGATGAGCGTGCATGACTTGGACCTTGACATGAACGCTAACTACTTGGATAATATCCAAGCAAACAGTGCGGCTTTCGCGGACTCAGGTCACTCGCAATGGAACCAATATGATCGTCCACTATCCTTTGGAATAGCCCTGATCTGGCTGAAACCGTCCTGTCAGAAACTTGTCAGTGGATGGGCCAGAACCAGCCGCTCCTCTTTGCTCGATGAGGAACATCCCCCCGAACCAAGGCAGAGCTCTGACATGTTCCTAATTATGGCGAATAATCTGCAAGGGCGCTTTGACTGGGAATAATGTTCTAGAGCGATGGTATCACGGCCCTGCTATGGATCGAAGCGGAAAGTGGGTACTGCTCCCCCACTCGTCAAAATTCCCGTTCTTCTACTGCCAAAGCTAGAACGCGCTATCGCAGATGATCTGGTTCTGTTCCCGAGATTTGAGTGGGACTCAGTCTGTGTATTGAGCCGTCTATGGTGATCTTCTACTTTCACGAGTAAGTTGAAAACGTGAATCTCGTGAGCGAAAAGGGCATTAAGCGAAGCTGAGACATTTGAACATGTCAATCTGAGTAAAGTTCAGATATCAGCGCTGTCAGCTGTTCGCATGAAACTGTGAAGTTAACATTCTTTTGCCAGGTCAGCTTTCTGTCGTTGACATCTGACACTGTGCCTTGGCGTCGATCAATCTTCTCGCAAGGCTGGGTTTAGCATCCTCCTCGAAACATCTCGCCAATGGACGTTGTCTGTCGGCCTCTTGACAACGGGACACGGCATGCCGTTGGGGCAAAGTTCATGGCTAGTTTCAAAAGCGGAAAACTAGGTCAAGAAAGGCATCACGTCAAGATAATTCGGTTAAGTTTGTGCTAAGCGACACCCTAAACATGATCAGACCTCCCCAGATCTGCACGCTCAGACATGAGGGATGGAAAGCAGCAACGACATACACCTCAGAGTGCGCCTTGAGATTTGAAGATTTTAACGCCAAGGGGGCTGCCATTCAAATAGTAGATATGTCCAGGACGTGCACTGCATCTGCTCTTCACTCCCGGTGAACATGAGGGGCAATTTGACGGGAATCCATCATCCTCCTTATGGTGAGTCTCGGGCCTCGACGAGCTCGTTGATTTGGTTCAAACGTCCAGAAGCTCTTCAGTAGAGGCCCCCAGAATTGAGCGATGAATCATTATTTCCCACGTTGCGTTGATGATACACAGCTTACTTTGACACCCAGCAAGATCTTGTGGCTGGCGCAGAATGCATCTATATCGCATAACAAGCAGCAAGCTCACAGAGGATGAAGTGACGTCCACGCTACAACAGTTGTGACAGGTTCGCTCTCTTCATCGGCATTCTTTGCCAAGATCGAGGGCCGTTAGTCTCCTGAGTAACCCTTTCCAACATGTTCTGCATGAGCGCTATGGCAGAGAGCAATCGGATGGGGTTTTCAGAAAGCCGCGTCAATTAAGGTTTCGTCTCCTGAACTTCCCTTGAAAAGGCTGATGGACTTTGTAACCTCGAAATGATTTAGCATGTTTCGTACCCCATGTTACGGCAATCTCGTCTCTTATTGGAGGAATCAATGGAAACAGTTTTTGATTAACAAAAGAGGGGCCGGGATCGCCTTGGCATCATCAAAAACGGGTTTTCGAGCTTTGCAAGTGTCAAGTCACCTGAACTGCTTTCCAATGATTGGTCTGACCTGTTGAAGAACCGCATCTATAAACATTAAAGACTTAAGGGCGACAAGTGTCAGCTTTCAGCTAGCCTAGCTAGCCAAGCCCCTCTCACACAATATGTCTGGCTTAAGGAGGCTAGTTTTTAACTCTCGCTCCTGTCGGACTGGGAGTGTGGAATCTAGGCCGCTCTTACTCTGGGGGAATCGACAACACTCAAGGAAATAGTTCGACCACTGTGAGACCCTCACCACCATGGAGAAGGAGGTCTCCCCAATGGATGCAGACTTTCAGGACGTTTTAATTTTTTGATAGCGATGCTTGCCGACATAATCCTCCATATTGTAAGCCCTTCGTGGCAGCCAGCTGCAGCCTCTGCTCCAGATTACGTCACCACAATTCTACGATCTACAAATGTATCATTCGTAGCTCGTGACTGGGATTAGTGTCGACTCCTTTTCGATGCCTTGAAACCCGACCGTATTCTTCTCTCATGTCGGAGGTTCCAACCGTGCGGCTCGTCACAAGCATCTTTTCCTCTCGCCTAACTCAAGCGAAGTCAACAAATCTCCACTGTTACTGGTGCTGGAGGGGGGATCCTGGAACGTCAACTTCTGGCAAATAGTTAGAAACAAGTGTATAGCTGAATTGATTCACGTATTCTTAACACTGATTAATTGAGTCTTTGAGACTGTACCTAAAGGAGGAATGAGTCCAGTACGACAATAATAAAAAATCTGAGACAGGTGCCTTTGTGTTGTTGCTTGTATTTGTGCGTGTCTGCAACTGAGAACTCAATGTGAGCAGACAATCAAGGGGCTCAAATGGCTTGGTATTGTATTTGAGGATCCACGTTTAGTATCGACTTCCATGTCCTATTGTTAGGATACATTCACTCTCGAGTACCCACTGACTTAAGCGAGGCACCATGGGTCGCTTTTTCCTCGAAGAACAAATTCATTCCTGCAGCAAACACATCAAAATCTACCATGAATTGTCGATCTCACAAAAACAGACGCCTCTCGATCTTACCAAATCATGAAACACCAAACTTATCTTGCTCAGAACTTCAACATGTCCGACTACACTATCTCCAGACCATCCACCCCAGATGTATTCGCCGAAGCAGAGATCGATAACCAACATGATCTCACTAATCCGTTTGAGATGTTCGAGGTTTTCCCCAACATCTTCATCTCATCTTGGCCACCCCACCTCCCCTCCAATATCACGCACTCTCTCAATCTCACCACCAAGGACTCGGTCGCCAAAAACGCCGACGGCAATATCAACCACTGGCACGCTCCCCTCAAGTTCGAGGGGGACTTCTCCCAAAGCCTCCCCCTCATCCTCCACGCCATCAGCGATGCCGTCCCTCGCATCGATCTCCGCCCCAATCCTCCCCACTTCCCAAAACCATCCTCATCTACAGTGAGGACGGTCGGAACCGCGCCGCCGCCGCCCAGCTCGCCTACATGTGTACGGTCATGAAGATCGACGTTGTCGAGGCGTTCTTCATCTTGAAGTCGAAGAAGAAAGACATCGCTGTCTCGGGGAAGTACTTACAGGCGATCCAGAACTACCTGGAGCATGGAGAGAAGTTCGATGATGTGGAGAAGGAAATCCTGCGGAGGCTGATGTCGGGACTTGGTGCAGTGATGCAGAAGGCGGAGGAAGAGGGTTGGATGTACGAGGCGGAGAAGTAGAATTTTATGTTCTGGAGAATATGTTCATGGAAATAGAGTGTCGAGTCTTTTGACGTCGTGAGATAGGTTAGAGCCCATAAATGAGTAACTGATTTTGGTGACTTCACGCTACACCAGCAAAAAAGGAGCTTTGAAATGAAGGTCCATTTAAATCTATTCTACAAACTTGAACTGCAGAACAGGACTCGTTCCTCCACTTGCCAGCAACCTTCGTCTATGTTTTCGATGAAACTCAAGTCCGAAACCGAGCCCAAGCCACGAAACATGAAGCTGACTGCTGAGTGTGTTTCCGTCTGAGATATTTTCTACCCGTCCACTCCAAACCATCATACATCGTACGCCGTAACTATCCAAAATGCTTCGTTGATTTTGTGCCCTGAATTTTCGGCTCAGAATTCATAATTAAGCACTAACCCACCTCGCTTAACTGTTCTTTCAAGCCTCCTCATTAATCCGACAAAGTATTCCAATAATTTCATGACCTCCTTACTTATTAGTCTCGTCCTTTCCTCATCTCGTATCATCATTATCCACATATTCGTTGAACCAGTCCAACGTCTCGCGGTTCCATTCAGCTCCATGGTATCCCTCGTCTTCATTACTGCCCCGATTCATTGGCGACCACTCCTCTTCTTGCTCTATTATCTCTGGACCCGCGAGCATCTTTAGTTTCGTTCTTGAAAAGTTGAATGGGACCTTGTCTGAAGTCTGTGCTTCCCACCAGTCCAGGACTTGTTTTGCCAATGTCCTTTGATTGAAAGGCACGGGTAGCTTGAGCTCTTTGGCGGTCGACTCAAGAGGTATAACGTTCAAGATATCCTGGAAATCATTTACCTCGATGTACTCCATATCAGGCCCAGCGTTTCTTCTCTTGTTGGTAGCCCCAATTTCATCCACGAATTCTCTCCATTGATTCGTGGCTTTGTTCCAACGATTGTAACCACGTCCCCATTGGAACCAAAAATCTAGGTCGTCCAAAAACTCTATAAAAGGATTCGGTCTCCATTCAGGGAGAATCTTTTGCAAATAATTCAGCGTTACAGTGGTTTTTGTTTCCCCGTATGTTTCTTTCTTGGACGCCAAGACGCATGCCATGACAGCAAGACCGTCGATGACTTTAGACTCAAAATCGTTATCGGAGGTACCAGCAACGAAAAGCTTCTTCTTCCGACCCAGGGCCTCGTGAATAAAGTCAATGATTACGATGAATTGCGCATTGCTGATAGAACCGAACTCGTTTGGCATAACACGTAAAGCCTTTTGGCCTTCCTGGCGGGGCAGTCCTGGATTCACTCTACCTGGTGCTGAACATGTCAGGACATAATTGATATTCTCCGGAACCTGCTGAACTGGAGTTGAACTGTGATAAATTCTGGAACGTTTGAGTTCTCTGATCTCATGTTGCTGGCAGTATTCTCGGCCGAAGTAAGCGCGCATTCGTTTGCGTGCTAGCTCCGCGGGAGGTGGGATCACTACGAGAGGAGATTGCAGTAGTATATTGTTGCCGAAAACAGGAGCGGCGTTTTCTTCCAGGTTCTCGACATCAATAGGGTTTCCAATTGATCCGCGAAAAGCAATTTGAGATTGATCAACCACGATTGTGTTGGTGCTGGAGCTGCGCTGACGAGACCCACCTCCTTGATCACTGGAAGAGCCCTGGCTGGAAGAAACTCCAGGCCGGCTCAACGGAGTATGGGACTCTCTGCCTGGATTTCTGTGTTTATCCTGGCTCTCGACACTTGAGTTGATGGAGATGGCGCCTTCGCTTTGAGCTCGGCTGTGTTCTGTCCTGGAAATGATCTGTCCCTCTGCAGTCCTTTGCTGCTTCCTCGATATATTCAAAATGGTGGTGGCAGCGCGCTTTCTAGTTGCAGACGGAAGAGTTTGCGTGCTTCTAGAATCGGATTTCTGTGACTCTCCATCGGCGGAATAAAGGTCCACTTCCTCTACAATATCCTCGGGTTTGTTGGCTGCTGATTGCTCAGTTGTTTCATTATCGCTGTTAGATGGCTTAATGATTGAGGAGCCTGATGTGGGCGGATCTGTACTCTGTCTTTCTTTGATTTCCTTGGCAGCTTGCTTTTGGGCATTTCTTGCGGCTTTTCTTGCCGCCTTCTTCTCTTCCCGAAGCCTGGCTCGCTCAGGATCTTCTAGATCTCTGATCCTCTGCTCTTCTTTGTTTGGCCGGCCTCTATGTCTTTTCTTAGAAGCAGCTGGCTGTCCTGATGGAGAGGGCCCTGACACCTGGTTCGACAGCTGATTCGCCCCATCCGTTGCAGCCGCTGAACGTTTCTCGGGAACATTGGGGACGATTTGCGGCGGGTCCGTTTTTGGATCATATTCCTTTCCAAGTGCTGAGAGTGGCGAATTGATTTTCGGGTTCGCCGATCCATCTGACGTTACAGGTGGGTTCAGTTCTTGGGGAGCTTCTGAGATGGCCAAAAGAACTTGATGTGCTGCTGCTTCTATTTGCGCCTGCTCTGTTGAGGAAAGGATATGGCGTGGTCTAACTGGAGCTGTTGGGTCTGAACTTGGGATATTTGCTTGAGTTGGAGCTGTATTTGAAGCAGGAAGAGCAACTTTCATTGGCTCATCGACCTGCGCCTCTTCGTGCATATTTTGCACACTTTGCTGCTCGAATATCGTATCGGAAGTATCACGTATATGGCTTGAGCCCTGAGGATTTGGTATAATGGCGGTATTAGACATGGTGTTGCTGATATTGCCAGAGGCAGAATCCTCGGATTTTCTGACATACTCGTTGCGAGGATCCATAGGCACCACTCCTTCTGGTCGATGGAAGTGTCCGGGGACGGGAGGTGGTACAGGGCTATGCAGTCTTTGACCATTTGATTGGTATCCATTTGACGCCATATGATAACTCAAATGAGATTGAAACGGCCCAATATATTTTGGATCCCTTGGAGGCTGACCAGTCGATTGGGAATATTTAATACCGTGATTAGAAGATTGATTAAAACCCTGATGGATTGAAGGGTCATTTGGAAACCTTTGGCGATGTTCAGAAGGATGGTTGTAGGTTGGCCATCCACCTCCTTGATTTGGTCTTGGCTGCTGGTCGATCCGTTCTACGTTCATGACCTCCGCGAGTCCTGGCCGAGTATGAGCTGCATGTGTAGCCCGATGAGCTTGATATACATTGCCCATCACAGGAAACGTGGTGGCATCTTGATAAGCAATATTCGAGGCTGAAGTATACTGGCTCGCTGGTGTGAATCCATTTCTGGGTATTGCGGCGGGATCCAGGCCTTCTGTTGCGAAACCATTTCTCCCATTATGGTACTGAATGCCTTGAGCTGTACTTCCCATATCTGGATTGCTAGGCAATGTTACGTGGGCGTTTCTGGCAGTCAAAACTGCCTGAGCCGTAGAGTGATCCATGATTCCTCTATTGACGGCAGCGAATCCTTGGTGTGTGTTTTGACCTGACGATGTTGTGTGTGCCATATTTGTCTGAACTTTTGTACTGGAACAGTGTATTTTGTTGCTCTATGAGACAAAATGATCTTATATTTTGCGATGAAAGGTATATGTGTTTGTGGAAATTCAGATAACTAGAAATGAATTAAGGGTTTCATAGGCTATGGAATAGTGTGTGTTTTTTACTCTTTCTTGACCACGGGGCAGGTCAGTTTTCAAAACTACGCATTCTTTTCTGTGAGGTCATAGTTCAGAAAAGTTATTGGAATATCGACTGACGAATTTTCAGTCTGTACCAAAGTTGTGAAAAATGTTATGAAGTATTTTGACTTTTCTGGGACAAACAAAGTTTAGCCAGCTCGCTTAGCTCAAAACACACTTAGAAAGGGGAACGAGGGATGACCGGCGCGGACCTAGCGAATCGGTCCCATATCTGCAGGCGTGAATATCAAGGTTAAAACTTCTTGGACCTGCTGCCGCCTTGAAAACTACCTCTGCACTATCTCTATCAAATAGTGAGCGACACACTCCCATGTTGCATCCATGTATGAGGCTATTGGTTCAGGCGAAAACAATTTCAATCACCCGTCATTCTAGCAATGTGGATCGTGCCTTCCTCTATGCTTCGAGTTTCTAGAACATTAAGAAATATTCTGCCCAAAGTCTACGAACCTAGTACCTAAGTAGGCAAGCATATCTGCCCTGACTGTGATAACCATGCTTTCATGAATAATCATAATATTTCTTCCAGTAGTATGACCTGTAATTCTAGCTCCTATAGACTAATTCCAGTTAGTGACAGATAGAATCACAAGCTCGGCGAGATTATTCGGGAAGAAGATGTGATTTCTGCGAGTCCTTGACGCTTAATCTACCACTTGAAACAGAAACTGTGTTCCGATAATGATCATCTTCCACTATCTGATGGTATAAGATCAGACATGAACCGTGTGTGGGATTTCTAAACATCGATTACACTCCGGATCTCTATTGGCAGAGAACTCACATCTTGTGACAGTTTCGGACATGAATAAAGTATATCTAAAAATTGACAGCGCTTATAACCTTGACAGTAAAAGACGAACTGAGGTGATGTAGTCGAGTCCATGAGGGACAGAATGATACCAGCCGTGCAAAATTCGGTGAATGAAAGCAAGAAGGACAATGCAAGATTTGTAATTGTCTGATGAAATCCCCATATCGTGGTCACATTAAAGGTTCTGTACCAATATTGTTAAGTAATTGCGTCACGACAAATGGAATATATACCCTTTACTCATATATTTTTTTCACCGCAATTGGTGAATCTTGTTCCTGAGCCACGCGCTCCAGTAGTTCCGTTTCAGTTCAACTCATCTCCTTACTGCCCTCACAGGATAGAATCAGTCGCAACAAACTGCCTTGTCGCTTCAAAGGCAATTTTTTCAAATAATTATATCAGTTTTCGACTTATGGCAAGCTATCCCCGACGAAGAAAAATTCGTGATAGACACCCGAGAGAACATATGAGTGCTCCCACTCGGACACGTAGCATAGTTAAAATCTTTATTGATATTGGAAGATGTCTCAACCACAACAAAGTGATAATTCACAACCATCAGACGCTCTAGCTGGAGCCAAGCAATTTGGAATTCACCCTATGAAGGGTAACTACTGGGCTGAAGATTCAACGTCGAGGAGGAGTTCGTTTTAATAGCCTCCAGTTTGACTTTTCCAGCCGGTGTCTTTGATGACGACCTCGAATGTGGCAGGCCAAATGTCCGCTGGTATACTTACATGAAGTCCTTGTCGAGAAATCTTTGAATGAATAGATATTTTTGATCCTTGAGGGGTAATTTTAGTTGGAATATTAGAGATGTACTCATCTCAAGGTAATTCAGAACGTGCCGGAGATTACAGGGCGAGGACTTCTTGACAATAAAAGTATCATTGATAACAAGACTCATAGTAAGCTGAGTAAATGTCTTGCAGCCTGTTATACCCATGATGGACGGAGATTACCATATATTTATCATAATTTCACTTCCAGATCCAAAACTCCCAAGATGGACAACAGTAGTTTTCCCATTCCCATGCCTTATTTCCTTTTCAACCTTACGGATCTTGTTTGCTCAACAAACGAGAAAAAGCTTTTTATACGTTCAATTTTCCGCACTGAGTAACCATATTAAAGTCTTCAATTTCTCTAAAGCCCGCAATTCAATCCAAAACCATTCCACTTTCAGTGAATTCTCGCTTCCACGCTCCTAAACCTCACAAACGCCCGCCAAATTCTTAACTCTCAGATCTCACTCCTCACCTCTAAGCCTACAGTCCTCAGATTCATCATCCAACTTAAACAAGTATAAATCCTCTCCATCTTCCTTTCAACAACGAGCAAGAAATCATGACGAACATACGAGAAATTTATGCCTCGGTCCCTGCACCTCCATGCCTCCTAAATCACCCTCTCGATGATTCATTTCAGATCGGTTTCCTACAACTTTCTGTCCAGCTACAGCGACTTGTGTCTTGTGCTCCTCCACTTGCATCAAAGAAAAGTCAGCCTCGGAACAACTACTTGAAACATTCATTGCTGTGAACAGGTGCGAAGTGACAACAGACTCGGCATCGACAGCTCCACTCGCATCAACAGCGCCACTCACATCGACAATCATAGAGATTAGCAGATACGTTCAGAGTTTTCGAAAGAAGGGCAACACTTTCAACGATGCGAGAATCCAAATTTGTCTATGTTGAAGCAGAAAGCCTAGTAATTCGTTGCTGTGGAAGTTCACGTAACAAGGATCGAGGAACTCGCAGTAAAACTTCTCATTGGTAGACAAGGAGTCGCATTTAGTTTCTGCAAGGATGAGCTGGTGGAGCATTTATATATCCCTCTCTGAAACATTCACTTCTGTGCAGGGTGGAATCGGAAGCAGGCAGGCATATTCTCCATCCCACTCACCATCTGCCATGGTTCAAAGTCACGAACAAACAAAATCAAAAGCACCAAGCACATGCACATTCGACAGAGAGGTAGATGTAAATTAGGAGCCCAATACCTATCTAAACTGTCCCATCCACCTATCCCACTCGTGAGCCAAGGAAGGCGAAAGACTACCCGCACCAATTCTCAAGGAACGCCGAAGTAAATGCAACATTCCACCAGCACCTGCATTGCACCTCTGTATTCCGCATAAACAACTCCGTCCAAGTAAGTGATGCAATGTATGCATCGAGCAAAGTAAGATAAAGAAAAGGTAGCAAGTGGAGGAGAGTCCCATCCGCCATTGTGACAGTTACCTCCAGCACCAGCACCAAAACGCCAAGTAAACCTATCCGCCCTATCCATCGACTTCGTATAAACATATCGACATCGTATCATGCAAGTTCCACCTCATCTAACTCATCTCCATCTCCTCATTCTCGTCGACCTCGGAGCCCATCTGCTGCGTCTGATTACTACTAATACTCGCCTTCCTCGCGACACCCCCGAATCCAAATCTGGAACCACCAAGTCCACCAACATACTCCAATTCTTCACCTAGAAAAAAATTGTTAGGATATGTGGATATAAGATAGATCGAGGAAATCATTAATTTGCTCACCTCCGACAACGCGACCTTCCATGTCTATTTCCTGGCTGAGTTCGACGAGCGCTGAGCGAGGAAGTTTCAAAAAGCCCGTAGTGCGCACCACGCGGCCCCAGTGCATGAGGCAGAAGTTGGCAGCGCGCTTGCGGAGCCATTCTTCGTTGGCGATGCCGGCGCAGTGCCAGATGATGCAGGCGTGTTCGACGTCAAGCTCCTTGGAGAGGCGATTGACGCAAAGGAGGCGGAGGTGTGGGATATTGTAGATGTTCGACATGACCAGCAGCCCAGCGACATCGCTCAGCTCCCCGCAGTCCTCTGGTTGGATACTATCTGTGTAGAGATAGTAGAGGAAGGCTTTGACTACAGTGTATGGCTCGGGGATGTGCATCTTTTTGGTGTGGAATTCTGCCATTTGTGCGTTGTAGAGACGAGCGAAATGAGGCCATCTTGCTTGGAGGATGAGCTTGTGGACGTGAATAGGTGGAGATGTCGTAGCATTTGGATCGAGCCAAGTTTGCTGGTCTTGATCATTGCTGTGACGCATCATGCTTGAACTCATCATCTCATCATCGTCCCAATCGCCATCTTTCAACGCAGTGATAGTAAAATCGGTTCCACTTCCACTTTCTGGTGTCTTGTTGAAGAGCTTGGCGAGATCTGCACCGAGACCTTTGGATGGAGGTACAATGTTTCGCTCCGCAGAGGGCATCATAGATGTATCCGCACGAGTTTCGGGGGTTAAGTTATTGCCAATGATTCCATACCGGCGAAGATCAATTTCCATGATATCGCTGAGCTTGTTAATAAGTTTCGGATACCCGAGAGAAATTGGCTTACCTCAAGTATTCTTCAAAGCCACCGGGTCCAAGATCAGTAGCTGTTGGGTCAGTTGGGCAGCCAAGAAGCCAAGCTTTCGTCCCATCCTCGTTCATGGTGCAGTAATGCCATCTATAACCAGGACGGAAGATATCGCGACCCTCCGCCAACTTCTGCCATCGTAGAGTATTTAGTTCTAGAGAAGACAAAGAGCATTCTTGGGGTGTGATCGTTGCAGCAGGAGTGACAAAATCAAGTAAAGTACCAGAAGTGTATACGTGGAAATGCATGCCGGACCCTTGAGATGGGATATTTGGACCAGAGACGAACTTCAGTGATGAGATTGTACCTGGAGCAACGGGAGGGGAGCTCGTGAGCTGGAAAGAAGGAGGATTTACTTGAGCACTGCTGGAATTGGCGGCGTAACCAGAGCTTCCAACGGCTGGGGGTGGAGCCATAGCATACGACTGGCGGGAAGATCCAGTCATCCGGCTAAGAGCAGAGTTACGGTCCATGGATCCAAATGGTGGGGGTGAGTCGAAAGCCGGACTGCCTTTGAGATCAAGCCACCAGATATCACCAATCTTGTCCATGTCCTCACTCAGTCCGCCGAAGACCCAAACCCGATCTCCCCAAAGATATGCAGAATGGTCGAATCTGCCAACGAACTTCCATGCTCTTGACCAAGTGAAAGTCTTCAGATCCAAGTAGCAGATGTCGTCCAAGACATAATTATTGTGCCCAGTGATTCCACCTATGATAAACAGCTTGTCCTCGTGCAGAACTGCAGCATGTCTAGCTCGACCCTTGGGAATTGGTCCACTGACAGAGGGTTGTGTCCAGTGTGCGGTTTTGAGATCGAAGATTATGAGGTCGGAAAGGTAAGTTCGATGCTCGTTCTCTCCGCCAAAGATCAGAAGTTTGTCGCCTTGGTACAGAGTTGCAGTGTGGCCTATACGAAATTAGCCTCCCCTGAATGTACTAATATCATCTGCCTCTTACCCATGCGGACACCAGGAATATCTCCATAATTGTCCACCAAACTCCATTGCGAACTGACCATATCCAGCTTCAAGACATGATTGTACACTTCGTCTGTGTATTGATCGAACCCACCAAACGCATAGATCTGGTTGTTTCCACAGTATGTGACAGAGGCATTGACCAAACACGCAGGCCTCTGGCCCAGGGTCCTGGTAACTTTCGGGCGGTACCCATCCATACTCAATCGTCCCTTCACCGGGGAGTTGGGCATGAGGAAGGTATTGTTTGACGAAGCTGCAGAACTTGGAGTCAAGACATTCCCAATAGCCATTTGATTGTTGATTCCTCCGCCGAAGATCGAACCCGATGGGCCTGGAGTCGAAGGCTGGGCCATGGTGTTTGCTCAGTGGGGCATACTATTAAGGAGAGACGAATTATTCAGGAGGCAGAGCGAACTGGTCCTGAAGTGGCTGGAAGCGAGTGGCAGGAGAAAATAGGATAGATTGAAAGTCACAATGTGCGATTTCCAACTGGAAGAGTCAAGACAAATGTCTGAAGGGGTAAATTACCTTAAGGTGCAGAGTGATGAAGTAGAGAGGACAGGGCCGGGCAAGTGCTTGCTCAAATGTACGGAGCGGAATTTGTTCATCGGAGCGACGGCCGCGCCTACCGATCATGTATCCGCCGCTAGGCCACATTAGGTATCGCCACATGGTCCATGCACAAGCGGACTTTTGAGGCAAGCGCGTCGTCCCTGTGACAACGGCGCTAGACTGGCTGTCAACAAATCCTTCAAAAGGGCGGATTGGTCCTCGAGGTTCCTGCTTTCTTCCTCATGCAAATACGCACTCTACTCTACCCTCCTGCACACCTTCAACCTCAAATCTCTCTACCTCCTCTTGCTTAATTGCATCATCATCAACCCAGCCTTCATCATAAACCAAGAATACTTCCCAAGTCTACTAGATCTTTTGCCTGTACTACGTTCCGCATCTGGTCGCCTCGACTTAGAGCCATTCTTGACGAAGGCCCTTCGACATATCGAGCACAACAAACGAATATACTAACCAAACAACTACCAGGAACCATTAGGTTGAGTCTCTTGGAGCTCGTTCGATATACCGAACCTCTTATCATCGATCGATACATTTACTTGTCTTTCGACCGAGATCATACCATCGATACTGCACAATGGCAACTTCAGTATCTACCCCAATTAAGTCCCACATGGGACTTTTCTCTTCCCGTACCGCTGGCGGACGCATGCCTTTGACTCCATCTCCTCGCACACGCACAGCTGCAATGGCCAACAACTCCTCCCCATTCACACCCGAGAGAAAGTTGGACAACGAGAGCATCCGGTCATCAACATACGGCGGTAACCTTTCTTCACACTTCAAATCTGCCTCGAGACCATCCCACCGCGACTCACCAAAGTCCAACATTGCCAAGGGTGTTCAGACTCCTCGCCGTGCTCTTGAGCTCGGTGTTTCCGACTTCACACTCACCGGTACTGGTGCTAAGACCCCGGGATCCAGCCGTTCCCGAAAGGGTCCTCTCCGTCAGAAGTCTACCAAGACTACCCTTTCATATGGCGACAGATTCATCCCAAACCGTGCTGCAAGCTCTGCGATTGTCAATATTGGATCTGGCAAGCTCGATGCTGGTGAGAAGAGACCAAAGACAAGTGGTGCTGAGGGTTCCTCAGTCCTAGCTTCTGGTGTTGATGACGCTTTGGCTGCCCTTGGATCATTGTCTTTGAACGATAACGAGGAGCCATCCACATACTCTCGCCCATCGCCAAACACTGTCGCATACCAAGATTCTCTTGCCTCTGCCTGCGGTGTCTCCCTCAACCAACGCATCCTTGCCTTCAAGCCTGCTGCGCCAGAATCATCCAAGCCAGTCGACCTCCGGTCTCAATACAACAGACCCCTCAAGAGCGCCAATGCTGCCTCTGCACAATTCAGACGCCGTGTCGCCACAGCACCAGAGCGTGTTCTAGATGCTCCAGGTCTTGTCGATGATTACTACCTCAACCTCCTTGATTGGTCTTCCGGAAACCAAGTCGCTATCGGTCTTGAGCGCAACGTCTATGTCTGGTCTGCCGAATCAGGAACTGTCAGCTCTCTCCTCGAGACCAGCCCTGATACCTATGTCAGCAGCGTCAAGTGGTCCGGCGACGGAGCATATGTCAGTGTCGGTCTCGGCACGGGAGAAGTCCAGATCTGGGACGTGGAGGAGGGAACTAAGCTCCGCAGCATGCACGGACACGAGACCCGCGTTGGTGTTATGGGATGGAACAAGCACACTCTCTCCACAGGTGCCCGATCCGGTCTTGTCTTCAACCACGACGTACGCATCGCTCAACACAAGACTGCCGAGCTCATCTCCCACACTTCGGAAGTTTGTGGTCTGGAATGGAGAGCCGATGGTGCTCAACTCGCCACTGGAGGAAATGACAACCTGGTCTCCATCTGGGACGCTCGCTCTCTTTCTGCACCAAAGTTCACCAGGACCAACCACAAGGCTGCTGTCAAGGCTCTCAGCTGGTGCCCATGGGCTCCTAATGTTCTTGCTACTGGGGGTGGATCATACGACCGTCACATCCACTTCTGGAACACCACCACCGGTGCCCGTGTCAACAGCATTGATACCGGCTCTCAAGTCACCTCCCTCCGATGGAGTCCACACTACCGTGAGATTGTCAGCACCAGCGGCTTCCCAGACAACTCCATCAGCATCTGGAGCTACCCAACCTTGGTCCGCAATGTTGAGATCCCAGCTCACGAAACCCGTGTTCTCCACAGCTGTCTCAGCCCAGATGGACAAATGCTGGCTACTGCTGGTAAGTTCTATGTTTGCTGTGCCATTAACTCTGCTAACATATTCCAGCTGCCGACGAGAGCTTGAAGTTCTGGAAGGTTTTCGAGAAGAAGGCCGGAGCCAGTTCTGCTGCTGCCGGATCTTCAGGAAAGGCCGACATGGTCAAGCAAATGACCATTCGTTAAGTTAATCAACATCAAGGCTCTGTGAAGTGCCCGGGCTTCCAAGAGAGCAACGGTAAAGTATCAAGAATTTCCATACTGGCATTAGCGGTTGGATTTACAGCGAGGCGTTGGGGAGTTCATTGCTTCTCTCTCAATGCCCATGGCCGAAAGTGCTTCACCTGGTGCGATTATGCTTGATGACGGGTGACGAATGGACTGGGTTCGGTTGGGCAAACGGGACCTATTGGCGGTACTCATGGGACATTGTACTTAGGAATAACAATAGGATTATTGTGTAATTATGGGATTTCCACATACAGTGTTCATGTGGAATCGCAGTGATATGCTTGTTCTCTAGTCCAAGGTCGGTCCTTATCTATGAAGTATCCTGAACTGCCATGTCTTCTGAACGAATGCCGTATTCATGGCTTGGTAAGAATCTCTTAGTCCTGCTCAGAACAGCATCGAACCCTCAATTCTTTACATCCTACCAAAGAGACGATGATCAGTTTTATGTTCGACAATAATACTTGGAGCAACTTTCCGGAGAAGACAAAACTTCCTTCTGCAACTAAATTAATTTTATCCTACAGTTCTGTCTTAAATCAGTGGCAGTGAGCGAGTGAGCAGACAGGTGAGTGAATATGACTCTCAGCCTTACAAATGCGGCTCAATCGCCGCTAGCCTCCCTGCCTTAGCCAGCTTTCCCATCGCTTAGTCAGGCTCCCAATCCCGCATCGACCATATCCCCATCAAAGGCCTCTTCCCTCCTACAACCACCAGCCCACGCCGGACGAACCCAGTCCACGTCGCACGCCCCAACCTCGCAAATCCACGCATACGGTTCTACTGGAAGTTAGTAGGCAAGTAGGGCAGTGTAAGGCAAGGCAAGGGCGAAGAGTGAATAGAGGAGATTGGGAGGGCTTTACGACGGACGGGGTGGGGCTACTACTGGTCAAAAGACAAAGAAGTTCAATCAACTTCACGGCAAAGCAACCGGGATAGATATCGGGGGGGGGCATCGAAGACGAGAGCGATACACAGTCTCTGCCGTGAGAGAAAAGGTGCAGCTACCGCAATCCAGGGAAGAGTTTGAGCTTGCAAGCACACAACTCACCTTCAACAACACCACAGCTTAACGAACGACCAAAACCATCAAGATGTCGAACACACAAGTAGGAAACGTATACTCGCAGATCATCACCGATGTGATTGATAGCTCACGCGTCGATTTCGAGGAGGGTGGCGTGGACGAACATGTCCTGGACGAGTTGAGAATGGTGAGTCCGTTACGCTGTTTGGTTTGGTCCATCCTCCATCGTCCATTTCATCTTTCGCATTTCCATTTTCTTTGATATCGCAATATATCATATGGGTTCATTGCAACGTGCAGTCGAAAAGAATCGATGTCGTGGCGTTGTTGCGTTGTTGATGCTTTCGCACATGTTGTGTGTTTTCGCTACTGCCTGTGCTGTGCTCTGTGCGGGCGTGGCCGTTCTCCCTCTGGCTTTGGGTGCAGGCAGGTTTGGGTGTGGACTCAGCCAGCTCGGCGGTGGGCGTCCCTCAGTATTTGGCTTTATACCAGCGGCAGCCTGGGGCTTCGCTTGTGAAATTTGCAGTCCGGGCTAGTGCCTGATTGGGACCGAGGTGGCGTCACGTGGATCGCCTGGTTGGATGGATGACTGTATGACTGAATGGATGGTCGGGGAGTCAAGTGTTGCCTTGGATATCTATTCCTGGATGCTGTTCTGTGTATCTTTTATTTTATACTTGATGCTTATCTTGCTGGATGGTCATATATTATATCTCATCATGCTAACATTCAATAGGGATGGCAACAAAAGTTGTCACAGCTTCAGGTTGCTCAATTCCCTTGGGATCCTAAGCCTGAACCTGTACCTGCCATGTCCAACCCTCCCACCGTCCCCTCAAATGCCGGCAATTACCAATCCAACACCCCTCCAATTCCCCAGAACCAAGGCCAAGGTCTTACTCTTCCACAAGTCAACAATGGCAATCGCCAGCCACAAATCAAGTCGGAGCCTGGCTTGGATCACGGAATGCAACAACCTCCCCAACAACCATACACAGCTATGCCACTTACTCTTCCCGCAAATGCTACTCAAGCTCAGCAGAGAGCTGCCCAACATCTACATCAGAACTATGGTCCTCGAGCAGCTGCATCCATTAGTGCCATCCAAGTACCCGGAGCACCTCCCAACAACCAAAATCAACAGATGATGGGCCAACAACAAGCCCAGCAACAGCAGCGTAATATTCAGCAGAACGGACCGCCGCAAGGCATGTCTATGCAACAGCATCAGCAGCAACTCATGGCCAACCAGAACCAAAACATGCAGCGTTTACAAGGTATGCAGCAGCAAGGAGCCCGGCCCCCAATGTCCCAAGAACAGTACCGACAAGTCATGGCTCAGAACGCAGCCAACAGGCTGCAACAAGCCAACGGTCAGAACGGTGTTGGAGGTGCTCAGACGGATGGTGCGGGCGATGAAGTCGAGTCCTTCGGTGTCATCAAGAGCGTCAACTCCTCTGGTGAGGAAGTCATGGGGCGAATCGAAATCGACAGCCTCATCCGCAGCAAGATCGAATCAATGGGTACCAGCATGGAAGGCGGTGGTCTTATGCTACCTCTCCACCAAGCATCAACAGCAGCCAAACGTCAACGCAAGGTCAAGAAGTCAGCAGCCATGCAGCAGACTGATGGGCCGGAGGACGACGACGATAAGGATGACGTCAAAGACGAGGAATTGGATGAGGATGCTATTAATTCTGATCTTGATGATCCGGATGATGGTTTGAATGATGAGGAGGATGATGATGAGAGTATGGGCCATATCATGCTTTGTATGTATGATAAGGTGCAGCGGGTTAAAAATAAGTGGTATGTCCTTCCCCTCCGCCTGATCTTTGTCAACGGACCACCACTAATACACCAAATAGGAAGTGCGTCATGAAAGACGGCGTCCTGACCGTCAATGGAAAGGAATACGTCTTCCACAAGGCGAGCGGAGAGTATGAGTGGTAGATCCCTCTTGCTACTCTACACTGCTTAAGCTGTCTTTGCAGGCTTGACTTCTGATCGCCCGTCAATCACACCTCTTTCCCACGCACTCAACTACTTGCCTACATACAGTACTGCAGTGTTGGTACAAGGCGATGATACCGCAATGCGATCTCTTCTGACATCATACAACAAAAAGCTCCTTGGTCGGCGCGTTGGAGACTGGCGTTTTTCTATTGCGCTGTGCTCGCGATACTCTTCCTCTCTCCTCTTCTTTGACGACTCAAATTCCCGAAAATTGCGTAGTCAAACAGGCTGGGCTTTTCACTGTGCATGTGAATGGGTGGTGGGGCGTGGATGCCGGCTGGGCATGGGCATGGGTATGGGCGGATTGTATGAATACATTTCACATGTGCTTTCTTTTCCTTCTCCTTCTTCCTTTCTATTCATGCGATTGATGATGTCTGCGAACACCGGGGGGTGAGGATGGGGGTGTGGATAGCGCGTTGATGATGATGATGATGGGATGCGTTGCATTTTCTGGTCGAGGTTGGATTGATACTGCTGCATGGAGTGGGTTTGGTAGACGAAGGGGCTCGATGCAGTGAGGATGATTATATTCGAGAGGCTCGATTCCCGTTTCTCATGCATGCAGGGATGAGCTACCTAGGGAGTGAAATTCTAGCGAAGGGTGCGGGGACTTACTTTGAGATGAATGCTAGATATCACACTCAGCTGAGTTCAAAAATGAAAAATGAAAGATGAGAATACATGCACGCAATCAAGCTATTCCCTCCCCGTGGCTCATCCCGCTCGAGGTGAGAACGTTGGAGAATTGGAGGAATACCGTCGAATTAAACACACGGAATGAAATGTAATCCATTGCTTCAATATAAACTTGTCTATTTAGAGGAAAATCTTCGATGTCGAGTGAAATCAATTAATACCGACCAGCGCGCGCTTTTGCATTTCTACCACAACATCCTTGGTGAACTTCTTGGGCAGATCTCTAAACTGTGTTTTGGCGAAAATTCTTTCACCTGTTTTCTCATACTGCTTGCAGAAGATGTTCCACAGATTCTCGTCAACTGAAGGACGAGGGTAGTACCTGTCATTCAGTGCAAATGCCTCAACTGCAGCAGCAACTCCTCCATCATTCATTTCAATCTCCTTGCACATATTAAAATCTAACAGCCAAAGATGCACCACCCGTTGATGAAATGTCATACCGCCACGAATGATATATGTGCTTGAGTCTGGTTTCATCTTCATCAACTCAGCATAAGGAGGTGCTCGAACATGACCTTCCGTTGGAGCACTTCCCAGAACAAACTCAACATCGGCAGCGTCGATTTTCACCTCCCAATGGAGAACCGCAAGGGCGTTGGCCATGGTGATCGCAAATGTAGCAACATCGAGACCAAGATCATTCATCTGGTTCAAGTGTAACTTGAAGTTGCGGAGCGTGAAGAACATTTGGGGCCGCTGCGAGGGTTGTCGGACTTCGGAACTTTTGCCAAGGTAAACACGGACTAGACAGTCCTTGTTTTTAGGATGGGCAAATTGAGCGGATCGCAGATGCTCGGGGCAGTAGAGAGCTGCATGAGCGCCTCTCGAATGACCTTGGGAAGTGGGAGAATCCGCTCGGACATCAGCAAGTTGCTGGGAGTTTGGAAGTCGGTTGGGAATCGATGAATGTTGTTTTCCCACCAGGCTTTATCATCGCGGCTGATATAGAAGAGGATTGGACGAGGAATGTGAACAGTGGGAAGTCCAGAAGAATTTGCGACCTCAAATCCTTGCTCCACTTTCTTGTGCATCAAGAAGTCATTCCAAAGTGCTGATGCATCAGGGCCATCCTCACGAGCTCGCTTAACTGCCTGAGCAGTTCCGATTTGCGCGAAGACATGTCCACAGCTTCCTTGACCAATTTCAGAAAACTGCTGAAGGGAAATGTCGGAGGAGGCTTCTTGGTTGCGTTTGGCGAATGAGGAGGAGGTGGAGACAACGGAACGGACTGAGAGCATTTTCTTGAGAATTGTTTTGGGAGGATCGTTATCTTCGAGCGAGGCGTGTTCGAGAATATTTGAGATTTGATCTGCCATCTTGAAGTTGTGACTTCTTGGAGTTGAGATAGGTGTGTGTGAGTGACAGTGTGATATGAGGTGTGGAGACTTTTTGGGGGAGCCGTGACTGAGGAAGAAGAAAAGAAAAGTTTGCGCTTCAACGTGGAAAGGAAGGCTTTTATAGACGTGGGACGAAGCTCAAGTGTTATGATTGATTCAAGAAGTTGTCATGTAGTCTTGAGATTCTGGAAGAATGTTGAATCTATGTAATTCACCATAAAGGTATGGCTGATGATTTTATGTTCAGCCTTACATTGGCTAGAAATCTCGCAATCTCCAGATGATGAATTGACTTTGAGATTAACTTAAATGACTGTTGATGGGAAAAACCCACTCTCAACAGCTGTTCTTGTCTCGATTCTGTAAGTTGTCATGAAGTTTGAGGAATAGACATCTATGTAAGCTTCGATAGATCGAATAGTCCAATACCAGTTACAACAGTTGTTTTGATATTTTTGAAGACTTGACAAGCGCAAAAGGAATAGATGTTTCATTCTTAACAACATGAATTGAGATTGACAGCACTCGATCAGTCAACAACACTTCACTGTACGTCATTCTGTTGGAGATTCAACCTTTGGTTTGAGACTCAGGATTCTGTTGTCAAAGTGTTTCCTTTCTCGTACATCTCTTCATGATATGTCTTGGTTGTTACGGCATCAAAACAAGCCCTAAACGGTTACTGGTAGCAAGCCCCAAAGAGAAACAATGTCTATTCGATCGCCCAAAAACACTATGTAGGCCACGTGCATTGAGATACGCTCTCACCAGCCTTCCGTGGACGCCTTGAAAATGCCATGCCACCCATCCCTGCTCTGATACAAAAGCATACTCTGGACAAGTGCGTCTCGTTACATATCCATATTTGACTGAACGACTCAACGTCTATTCATTTCCCATCTCAAGCCGAGCGGCAGCTGCCTTTCTTTCCTCCAGACGTCTGTGAAACCCCGCCATTGGATCTTCTACCTCCCCTTCTCTCCCATAGTACTGATCAATCTGTCGTAAAAACAATAGAGAGGGCTTGACATCCGGCTTTTTGCTTTTCAGAAACTTGACCGCCTCAAATGAACTAATCTGCTTGACGTGACAAAGATAAGTGAGAATGGCTGCCGCAGACCGATTGAGGCCGAGTGCGCAGTGAACAAGAACCGAGGCACCGGATTGAATTGCTGTGCTGATGAAGTCCAGTACTGTTGGAATATGGGGCTTGATGTTATCGATGTCGTCGATTGGGATATGCAATATTGTTCGGCCAAAAGACTCAGTGTGGGTATGTGTGCACATGTTGAGGATATGCGTAATGTTGTGGGGAAGTGTTGCCACCTCGGGAAACTTCGAGAGATATAGGTGAGGAATAACCTCGAACATCTCGAATGGCGTCTCTTTTCTTGTCTTAGGCATTACGGTTATGGATTCCATGGTCGTTATTGATGTAGATATGAGCTCCGAGCTGTCATTGCTACCCGTGGGTGGGTTGTGAGAGCTGATGATCTGATGTGAGGTCGATGCAGACAATGGCTCTGGCTGTGACTGGGAGTCTTCGAAGACTTTTGAAAACATTATGTAATGTGAGTGTGTTGTGTTGTGTTGTATGAGAGTTGATGTGACTGTAACTTTGGATATATTGTGGTGTGGAGATAATTTTGCAAGTTGAGTTGAGTTGTGGTGGTGGCACAAGTTTGCAGACGGGCGTATTTTAGCTAGCGAGGATTGCCATATGGACTGGGTAGTACCTACCTCAGTAAGTAGCTGGTTGGGAGATTTTGGCTACCTAGGCGAGAGCAAGTGATCGAGCCGGCAGGAATTACCTAGTTAGTTTTGGGTAAGTGAACCCATTAGCTTAGAAGCACTTGTAGTTACAACAAAATAATATCTATCCGTATATGGATATTTAATTTTCTCGTAGAGTCATCATCTTATGGTTCGATAGTTTCTTCTCCTGTGCGGCATATTATGTACACTTGTATAAGACACATGGCCAGTCTGTGTGTTGGGGATATATGAAAACATATAACTTCATTCGTAAGCCCTGTTTTCAGCGATTGTAAAGATGAGAGATCTTATGATACTATTGCGGCTTTGGATTTTCATCGTCTCGTGAGATATACATATCTGCTAATCGAATGGTACGTGTGAGGGGAACGGAGAGACGTTTGTTGCATTTGTGCCTGTAGTGGATTGTGTGGTCAGGGTTGTATGGGAGTCTGTTCCGGCGTTCGGTAGCAAATTTTAGTCGATGCCTAGCTGATCAAGCTAGCGACAGCTTTGTTTACTGCATCACTGTTGAAAATTTGATTAAGCGAGAATCAAGGCCACCAGGGATAGATTGGTGACAGGCTGCTTTGCATCACAACTCTTGAAGTCAGTTCGACACTCGCCTAAACCTAGGTAAGTGGTTTCTGTGCCCACACTCGTCTCCTGCTTCCAGTCAGCTCAATTCTCTCACAACAAATTCGACGAGAACGACTTACGTATAATGATAACAATGCAAATGCGGCTGCGATATCTCGTTCCTTACCTGAGCCACATAAACATGCACCTGCTCCGCCGTCCACGGTGTCGGCTCCCCAAACTTCGTCAACAGAAACATCGCCCACCCCTCCAACCCCGCCTTCCAGTGCTCCATATTGACCTTCCCCGCATCCTTGAATACTTTCAGTGCAGGCCACGATCCCAATGGGCATTTATACAATTTATCTTGTACGTTTACGAAGCCGGCTTTCTCGATGGAGGATTTCATCGTTAGTTGTGTGTCGAGGGGTCGACCGGCGCGTTCGGCGCACCCGAGGAAGTTGGGACCCCAGCCGGCGAGGATGCTGTTTGGGTCGAGGGAGTCGTCGTCGGACATAACGCGGACGTCGAGCTCGACTTCTTCGATCCAACCGCCAGGCGCGAGGTTGCTGAATGCGTTTAGCTACTGTTGTCCGGGAGGACCAATCTTTGGTGTCTGGAAATCCAACCTACTCGTAGCATTCTTTGTAAAGACGATCTCGCTCTTCGGGTGTAAAGGCACCGAGGAGGAGACGCAGGTGGATGAGATCGAATTGCTTGTTCCAAGTCCATTCTTGTGTCACGTCGTCGACTTGGAATACACAGTTTGGTGGCACCCATACAGCTGGTGGTGGGTACAAATCAACACCGTAGACAGTAGCTAAGAATGGTCAGCTTTGTTGATACGGAAGAAGAAGTCTCTCTCACCTGAAGGGTACTTATCTGCTACTTCACTATATAGAATCAGTGGATTTGTGCGTGAGAAGGAAGGTGGAGCTTACATAGCCCATGTGCCATCGCCAGTACCTATATCGAGAATATTCTGTCGAGGAGTCAATCTTAAACTCCTCCACAATTGTCAGTGCTCTTACCTGAGGGCCATCACCAATGGGCGAGTGGAATAGGGGTTCTGGCATGTCCTTGTCGAGGATGATATAAAGAAGATGTCTGAACTGTTAATATCTGGCCAGCTTCAAGCTATCACATCACTTACCCCAACTCAAATGTCTCAAACTGCTTGTCATCTGAAGGACCCCTGATAGAAGTTAGTAAGCTTGAAAACCGTAGGTCAGACGTTTTCTTCTTCACATACCAGTATTCATGTCCTTTTGTCGATTGGTATCTGCTTAATCAGTGAAACTCCCTGATCCGCATCGCTTTACTTACTTTCTTCCATTCTCCACATATCCCCTACTAATCGCAGAAGCAAGTGAAGTCGTGTCACTGGATCTCGTCAACAATTTCCTCTTCTAGACAAGAAATTTTTTAAGACTCGACATACGATGCAACATCATCCCCGAATGCAGAATCTGCATCAAATCCATCATCCTAGGTACAGTCAGCACAAGACAAAGCAAAAAAATGGAACACCAAGAACTCAAACGGGACACTCACGATTGCAATCTCATCAGCGACAGCGTCCTCAGTGTTAGTTGTATTGTTTGGAGGACTAGTTGCAGAACTTGCGGCTCGGGGAGGACTAGGAGGATTGTTGACGGCGGCGGCCTGCGAAGCCGTCGCGGAACCGGCACCTTCACTAGACTTCGGGCGTTCCTCATGGCGTGGGGATGCCTGGCCAGCTTTACTAGCTCCCTCCATGTTGTCAACAAATATAGAGAGTGACGTCTCGGTACTGATAGCAAATTTTTCTTAACGACAGATAGTTATAGAAAGCTTCGACCTCAGAATGCAAAAGCGAGTCTGCTGCGAATGATTTTGTTTTCGGGTTCGTGGCCGAGAAAGAAGAGAAGCGGATGTGCTGATCCTTATCTCACGGCACAGGGCATTGGGCGGCCGCATCACAGCCTGCTGACTCGCTGATTCGGTGGAAATAGTATGGCGGGGAACAAGCAGAGCCGTCCCGCTGTCAGTGAAATCCACATTCTGGCGTTTTTGAAGGCTGTGAAAGAATCCCGGATGGAGGATGCCGTCCGTTGAGATATATTTATTGGTTCGTTTGGCGGGGAACAGACAGTTGAGGCGTGCGCCGTTCGGTGTTGCATTGCCGAGACTACACCGTACCTTCACCAGTGAGATGGTCTGAATGACTGGGCGTATCTCAGGTTTCCGCCCTCTTCACGAACCCCACTCCTTCTGGAGTACTCGTACTCGGATAAATATAAAAGTCTACTGATACTATGGTTAGCCCTACGGGGTTTTTCATGCAGACAACGTCTGTAAATTATCTGCATTTTGTCTACATTCCTAATAGTAGTAAAATACAGTAAAATACAGATAAAATTCAGATAATATCTGCTATAAACGCATTAAAAAAGTGCAGATAATATCTGTAATAGACGCATTAAAAAGTACAGATAATTTAGCGTGTATCTAAGGGTCACTCAGACTTTTTATATTTCGATATAAAGTTAAACACAGACCTTTTACTACCTACCTCCGGAACACTCGGAAGGGAGACGTACCTTTGGAGGGGAGGGAGATCTACCTTTGGAGGGAGGGAGACCTTAGAGGGAGACTTACCTTTGGAGGGGAGGGAGATCTACCTATAGAGGGAGGGAGATAGAGAGAGAGAGCAGTAGGAAAAGGGAAGGGAAGGAAAAGAGAGGGGAAATAGGAGGGGGAAATTAACTTTATTAGTTAGAAAACTCTGAAAATACAGATAATAGCTGTATTTCCCTTAAATTACAGATAATATCTGCATTTTCACTCTAAATCTTTAAAAATCGATTAGAATCAAAGAATCTAGCTGAGAAAAATGCAGACAATTAACTAAAATACAGACAGAAAATCCGTCTAAAATACCTGTTTACAGATATTATCTGTAAGAAGTGCAGACAGTGTCTGTAAAAAAACCCCTGTAGGGCAGGAGGCGACACAGCGTCATGACCCTGCCATTAAATTCAAATTAAGTTAGTAAATCTGCTACATGCGAGACACTTTCCCAGTTGTAAACAAGCTTTCGGTACTTAGGGATATCTAGGATCTCATCAGCGAGAGGAGCAGGCGAGTATATTTTCTTTTATTTTCCTGTCCAACTCGGCGTATCTGTGGCGTGGAGTACCCCTCTTTTACACCCTTGCACACAAGCAATCGTGCCCTCTCACCATTTGCCCATTTACAAAGGCTACTCCAAGGAGAGTTAGTTAATGGCTTCCAAATGAAGATTAAGAACTACTAATTCGTTCTAGCAGCTTACTCGGATTGTCTTAAAAGGACACGTTTTCCGACTTCACCAGATGCTGGCGGCGGCCTGTCCAAACTGTCGGTATTCTTTCACACCCAATCGACAAGGTAGGAACACCAGATAGAGCTCAAGATTATTTAAAACCATGCTGACTTGATTGCCGATAGGCTTTCACAATTCCCCGACAACTCGTAACGATTGTTGTGCAACCATACACACAGTCAATCAATCGCATCCAACATGGCGGGTCCAGTTCCAACACGTGTTTTCGCCGGTGCAACAATCCCCCACACACCACTCATCACTAAAGCACTCGAATACACACGAGCTCACTCCACAGATTTCGCATTCAATCATGTCCAGCGCTCCATGGTCTTCGGCTTCATCATGGCATCGAAGATCCCGAGTCTAGCGGATCGTGATCTGGAGGTCCATGCCATTGGAGCCCTGATGCATGACATTGGGTGGGATCCAACGGGAGAGCTAATTTCGAAGGATAAGCGGTTTGAGGTTGATGGTGCGAATGCTGCGCGCGAGTTTTTGAAGAGAGAGGCTCCGGATTGGGATAAGCATCGGTTGCAGTAAGAACTCTTCCAGACTCCCTTTCAGATTAGCTAGGAGAGTCGAGGGTGGGGACTCTTCTCGCTTTAGATTCTACGAGTGATTTGCTGACCGATATTCACAGGCTCGTCTGGGATGCAATTGCTCTCCACACCACAGGAACCATAGTTTTCCACAAGGAAGAAGAAGTCCAAGCAGTAGCCTACGGCATCTGGGCCGATTTTCAAGGTCCCGATCGCATTGAAGGCAATTTGTTGACATGGGATGAATACAATGTCGTGGTAGCCGAGCTACCTCGCTTGAATCTGATGAAGGGTTTGAAAGGGTTAATGTGTCATTTCTGTGAGACGAAACCGGCTACTACGATGGACAATACGGTTGGGGAGTGGGGTGATAAGTTTGTGAAAGATTATGATCGAACGGGGAAGTTGACTTGTGACTTGTTGCTTACGTGTGATTTGGATGGGAAGACGCTTTTGGAGGACCCTTGATCGGATGGTGGGCCCATTTAGACCATAATAACTAATTCCAATAGGTTGAAGCAGATTCAACCCAGCAGGCTCAATTCATGACAAGCCATATAATACCTATCTTCTCAACTTCTCCGAATCCCAATCATTGGCAGTCTCCTCACCCTGGGACTTCACTCAACCAAGTCCGTGCCCCTGATAATCTCCTTCCACTCCTCCAACAATCTCAGCGTCTCCTCACACTTCCTTTTCACATCATCAAACACATCCTTTCCCAACGGCAATCGAGACGGAACTTCCCTCCCTTCCGCAACTCCTTCTCCTCTCACCAAATCCAACACATACTCCACAAACTTCACAGGATCACCCGGCTGCTTCCTATCTTCCCCTTCCAAGCCCGAGATTCTGGCGCTGGAGAGCTGCGAATAGTCTGAGATGGCAGATTGTACGGTTTTCATATTCTGACTAGAAAGAAGCTGAGTGCGGAAACGGCCTGGTTCCATGAGGAGGGTGCGGATCCCGAAGGGGGAGACTTCTTGTTGGAGGCTTTCAACCATGCCTATCATAGACTTCAGTGAGTTTGATTGAGGCTGTGAGGATTCTTTTTGTTCTGGATTTACCTTCAAGTGCAAATTTAGATCCAGCATAAGCACCACATCCAGGATGGCCAACCCATCCCGACAAAGAACCAATGAAGACAACAGTTCCTGCATGTCGCTGTCTGAAATGTGGAAGAATTGCTCGTGTGGCTTTGATTGTGCCGAAAACATTCGTGTCGAATTGCGCAAGGAAATCTTCATATCTGTCTCATCGTCAGTGACTTTCCCTTCTTCTCAACCTCCAAACAAAGAAACCCCTCAATACACTCACCTAAGCTCCTCCCACGTTCCAATTGATATATACCCAGCGTTATTTACCAGGACATCAATCCCACCATAAATCTTCAACGCTTCCGCCAAAACAGCGTCAATGTTCGCTTGATGGTCAGTGATGTCTAGCTGAAGGACCGCAGCCCCGGCTTCCTTCAGATGTGCAATACTACCCAGTCTACGAGCTGTGGCTATGACTTTGTCGCCTCGGGCGAGAATGCTACGGACGAATTGCTCGCCGAAGCCGGATGAGCAGCCGGTGATGAACCAGGTGAGAGATGCCATTTTCAATGGATGGGAGGAGTACGGTTAGAAGTGAGCTAGGTACAGTGCGGGTGTGCTTTATTCACCGAAAAGAAGTGGTTGAGATTAGTCTGATCTTTCCATGATGGTCGTCTCTTCTTATATAGATTGCCACTATGGCTTCCCAACGCAGGAGTACATCTGGAGTTAGGAAATACACCTATCTCTGGTTACTTATCTCCGTGCCTAGACATGTATTCATTGAGTATACCTTCGAAGCTGCAAAAATCCCTTCAAATTGATAGTGTAAAGCGGGGATTTACTGACTCACACGGCCGATACAAACGACTGTCCGCTCGAAGTCCGCTGAAGTACCCCGCTCACGTGTCCGCTCATGTGATTTTACCGCAGTGCCAACCTAACCTCCATGGTTGTGACCATGCCAGCTTTGCTCATAGATCCAACTGAAGGCATATATTAAGATATTGCATCACCTTCTACGACCCAGGAGAGATTAATGATCCACTTGCTTATACCACGGCGCACCACAATTTGGAGATCAAGCGAGATAGTCCAACACGTGACTTTGACTACACTCATCCTCCGAGCACTCCGAAGTCTCACCCAACCAGCTCCGTCACCAACACATCCACATCTACTAATACATACTCAAATTGATCGGTCATACGAACAGCAAACGCCATTGCCGCCATCTTCTGCGCCATGAGTCGTTGACATGGATTACCAATACTGAAACATGAAGAGAGTTCTCACTGCGATGATATCATGGGGATGGATTTCAAAGCTCTTATATCGAGTTTCGGGTCCTCATGTCGTACTTTCGAGGTCTTTTGAGAGTCCATAAGCTGGTCTAATCTACTACTGGAACTGCAACTATAATTCGGAGAGAATCGGTCTCTGTCGCCTCTCTGGAGTGTTTTGCTCGCTTAATTCCCTTTTTTGGCATCCCATAGCTGCCCTGTTGAAAATCAACGAAAACATCACTGCGGAGCTTCGAAGTAATAAACAGTCTTTCAGGACTACAGACAACTGCTCGCAGCCCTTATGTCCTCAAATCACATCTTGCATTGCTATCCCATTGCTACCATGTCGCCAATGCCAACATACCAACCCTCCACCTGGGCGAACACCTGCCTCTGGGGCGAACAAGCACTAAATCATCCACCATTCAAGTTCACAGAAAAAGTCTGATTCCTGTGATCGTACGAGTTGCTCGGTCCGAGGACAAGGCACTGAATACCCTGTAAGTGTGCTTGTTTCAAACAATACCATTGAGTATCTCCATCCCAATCAAATGCTGATGCTCAATAATATCAGACCAACTAGACGAACGAGTAGACTTTCAAAGCTTACCAACTGTTTCAAACTTTCTTGTGAGAAGGACTCGGACATCACAGTCATACGCATGCCGCGATCTGAATATTGGAAGTACTTTGCTCGAGACAAGAAGAATTTCTATGTCGGCACAGAGCCAGAGAGGTTGTGGACAGTAGATAAACTCGAGGAGGAGTTTGGAATATATCAGGACTTGCGACCTTCTTTTTGGAGGATGGTGGAATCGGAGGGTAGAGTTTTCAAGAAAGATGTTGAGGATTGGGGTGAGAAGGAGGGTCTGAGATCGTCGCATGACGGCGTGTACTTTGATTAAGTTTTAAGGAAGACTCGCACGATCAATGCAGTCTTTTCCCATGTGGGTATCAAAGCGAAAGTTTGCCCGAGATCGATCCTCCAATTTGTACAAGTATCGCCCACTTAATATCATGCATCCCAGCATTGAACCCTTGCGAAACTTTAATACCTTAAGTTGAGATCTGTTCCCCCTCTTTCATCAACAACTTTCAGGAAGAAAGAAAGATATTATGTCCGTTCACAAACTACCAGACTTATTAGAAGAGAACGAGAGTATCCTAAACGTTACCGGTGATGTGGCAGAACCTCTCGAAAGATGACGACCGGGAATCCTTCTATTCACTCCAAGCTGGGCCCCGAACGCAGTCAAAGAAGAATAGGAAGAGTCAAAAGAAGAAAATGAAGGGCGAGACTGACGTTGAAGCTGAAGCAGGAGCGGAAAGAGAAGCAGAAGCTGAAATTGCAGATGTTGAATGCAATGCGAAAGCGAGAGGCAATTTCCAAAATTGTATACTTACGGATCTCTAATTCTGTAACATGTTCCATTTAAACTGGAAACACACGGGGAAAAATTGAATTTCAGCTTGTCAAGCATGCCAAGTTCTGTTCATGTTTGAGAAAAACCCCGGACTCACGAATGAACAAACACTGCAAAGCCTCACCAGCTTCCAAGCATTTCTATTTCCAAACAAAACAAACAAGCAATTATCAAGCATCTGCTATCTAGGTTTCCCTTTTTGTTACATCGCCTGTACATCCAACCACAACCACTGCCGTGCGGGCGGCTGCTGACACCGCCAAAGTACGGTACGGAGGGACCGACTGGGTGCCTAAATGCACGTCTGAGTTCAGAATCAGATCTGACCGAGGCACCTCTCACGCCCTCCCGTTCTTATGGTTACCTCACCACTGCATGTAACCTTCACTTGAGTTGCCATGTCTGTGAGAACCTTGTTTCTGAACAGTGCTACAGCTGCATTGACTTGAGAATATCGATGTCACGGGAGCATGGCTGACTGACTTCTGAATTGTGGTTTGACGTAAAGGGCGGGCGGCGTTAATTGAGTTTTGAGAATTAAATCCGCTGGCATGGATGATGAATTGGCTGTTGGCTTCGGGTGTGAGAAGCTGAAAGCTGTTTGTTGAATCATTTCATGGGGCTCCCTAAATATTTTATGGTCTGGAAGAGACAGAATAAAGATGACAGAAGATCTGCAAAGGTGTCTCTGTCTTCGATCACTTCATGCATCCATGACTATAATTCCTGTGAGACTTTCCACGAGGAGATTGGCGACGACTCCAGCCGAAGGCGAGTATAGATTATGCGCAGTGAAGATTCAAACCAACTGGAGAACAAGAATTGCAATTTCAAATACCAGTGCTCACGGCAGCAATGGCGATGCAAACCTTCTTGTGCCGAATCTCGAAACCTCAACAGGCTCTTCTATAATTCCTCCCTGTCCAAGCCTCAATCGAGCATCCATCGATCGGCACAGAGCCATCGGTAGATAATGCCGATCGCTTTTAGGTGTCAAGCTTTCGGCAGGGAAAATGTAAAGGCAATCAGGCCAGCAGTAGAAACATCTGCAGGACCCAGCCCTAAGGACGTCTTCTAGAAAACCAACATCTGCATTCGCACTCGTAGGAAACAGGACAAGCACTCACAAGGTTGACTTTAGTGCAGAGAGCCTCGTGGTCGGGCTCCGCCTAGAACAACGGGAACGCGATTCCAGGCACGGCGATCTAATCTGACATCTGCCCTGAAGTTTTCTGACTCTCACCCGCCCTCGCCACGCCTCATCCCCACCACCACATCTGAGCCGGTAAGCGAGAGAGCACCCAAACCCAAAACAGTCCGCATCGAAGTCATATTGTACGAGACAAGTCGTGATTATCGATGCCTGGCTGGTGCATCAGATCTTTTGGCTGCTGCCTGAGTTTCTTTTTCTCTTGACAAAAGGTCTGAGGTGCGGGTGTTTTGCTGATGTAAGATACCAAAATAATCAAGGGTCCTTGATGATAGACTTCGTCGCTTCTCATTGGTTGAGGTATACGATTTTTCGAAGGACCAGATATAGCCTCACAAGCGCTTGAAGACGGCGCTGGAGTCCTGGATTGTATTGAGACACATATAGTAGACGCGGGAAAGTATTGGAAAGCTGTCGTGTTTGAAGCCGTGTCGGTACTTGTCGTTCGTTCCTTCATCCGTAACTTGGTATACGTGGAGTCTAGATGAGCATCTCTTTCCTTTGTCGATTCTTGAATGCGGATGGAAAATGAACTCTTCCACGGCTCAGAACCCTTCGGGTACCAAGAAGCCCCGGGCATCAAAGCCGAAAGTAAAGTCGGGGTGTAAAACATGCAAGTGAGTTTTCATTGGTCGAGCTTTACGAACCTGCAGGCATGTAATGCCACTCTCCTCCTTCCTTCCAGACCAGAACTCCTCGTTTCTTTCTTATCTTTTGAATCAAGTCTTGCTTCATAGGAGCTACTTTACTGACTTGTTCCAGAGCTCGACGAGTGAAATGTGACGAGAAAAAGCCAGCATGCGACAGATGCGCGAACTTTGGACGGATATGCGGTGGATACCCATCCGCGGAGGACCCACCTCCACCCAAAGATCCGAGTCCACCTGTCATTCGAAAGCTCTTATCCAAACCTGTGGAAGCTACATCTTCGTCGACGCCTTCACTCGCTCAAGATGTTGCCTTTTCTCCACCTCCGCCAATCGGCACTTTTGTACAACCTCTACCAGCTGGTGTGGCAATCCAGGGTGAAAGGTGCTACCAGTACTTTTGCCACTTTCGAGATGTGACTTCTTTCGAGTTCTCGAGTGGCTTCGATCAAAGCCTATGGCGGTCGTTGGTCCTGCAGGCATGCGATAACTTTGCAATTGGGAAGCTGGTGGTTGCCACAGCCGCTCTAAGTATGTTTGTGAAAGAACCTCCACAACAGACGAGCGAACTGCATCTGGAATAGCGTTGCAGCGGTATGGTGAAGCACTGAAAGGGATCAGGGAGACAGTCGCGACTGGACAAGATTCAACAAGAGTCGCATTGATCAGCGCTCTCCTCATTTTCTGCTTTGAAAGTCTACATGGAGACTTGGGACGAGCCATGACGCATATCCAGAGCGCTATTGAGATGATACTCAAGCAGCTCTCGACGTTACCACAGCAGCGCTATTTCCCTCGAGTCGGATTTGCAGCAAAGCAACCTGATGCAGTAGTCGACTACGAGCTTTTGGCGGCATTCATGCGTCTCGATCGGCCATCGCTGGCATTGATGAGCAGCCGACGAGGATATCCTCCTCTTGCAGCCAATCGCATCTTCACCTTGTTATTCTCTGCAGAGCAACTCGATATCCCAGTCAGCTTCGCGACCATTTCCGAAGCGAGATCTTATTTGGAGGACATACAATGGAGGATATTATCCAACAACCACACACCAGACTCTATTTCGGCATTGTGGGATGACAGTGAAGCACAGTCTATCTTTCCAGACTTCGAATCTGTGCCGTGGCAATTGAAAAAATGGTACCAAGCAACAGACATTGTAGGATCTTCGTCGCACCTGGTATATCGACTTGCGCAGTGGCACGACGCATTCCAGCCACTACTAAACTATGCCATGAGTCCAGCAGGGGACTCGATCTTCGTTCCGGCAACGATATTGCATGTCCAGGCGATGGCCGCTGACTTGACGATCAGTGGATTCGCGCCACACTCAGGATCGCATCTACGAGCGGATTCGTTCTCGAGCACGCGTTCATCATCGATGTCGGAACACCAGTCTTCATTTTCAATGGCTGGCCCTTCGGCACTAGCCGTACCAGATACGACATCCGGCCGACGCTCATCGTCCGGCCGGTCGTCGACATCCTTTATCGCTGAGAGTTCGACGCCTTTCCCAAATGTCCATGCAATCTTGAAATTCTGCAGGAGGATGATGTCACATCCAAGTTTCTTCAAGGGATTCGTGTTCGATGCGGGGGTCATACCACCGCTCCTGAAGATTGTACTCCTATGTCCCGATCGTGCACTGAAGAAAGAAGCTATCGATGTTCTGAGGTCTATCGCACCAAGACGGGAAGGAATGTGGGATAGTAGAATTTGCGCAGATGCTGGTGAAAAGTGTATAGCAATGGAAGAAACAAGTCAAGGACTAGACATGATCGACCCATTCCTCCTTGATGGAGTATGATGGAAAAAAGGATCATAGAGTGTACTTGATACCAGTATGGTGATTGATGTATGACAATAGCTTGGGTGAGGAGTTTGGAGTAGATGTAGACACTTGCATCTGTTTCGATCTGTTTGGTGGTACTCGACTGGATCGAGGTCGCATAGCGCGACATCATGGAGAAGAAAAAGAAAACAGAACACAAGAACCAACGAGGTCTGTGATGGATAACAGGGGATGAAGTTAGAAGGCGCAGGCGGGTACTGCTTCTAGCTCATCAGCAATAAGCAAATACGATATCATAAGATAAGCAGCACTTGCTATGATTATCCGTCTTGCTTTGCATGCCAAAAGTTCCATCAAAACAGCTTGACACATATTTTTAGCGTCGGTTTCATGGCAAGCCTCTCCAAGCCTGCAAGCAAGACATACTGTTACTCTTAAAGGAATATTGCAGGATCATCAACATTGTGACACACCACTGTGTCGATGCCTCGTGTATCCGTACGGCCATGTGAGATCTGCCAGCCTCGGTAGCACGCAGGTCAAGGGCGTGCTACCTGTTGCTACAAAAGGTGTCGTGCTTTTGAGGCGCGGGCTGGGATAGTCACAGGAATTAAGTTGACTGGTTCCCACGAGTCTCCAACGACGAGAATCTCTTAACTGGAGGACATTCGCGGTATTCTCGATTGTAGCCCTGACGGCTATTGTATACATGAGCTATGGGGAACAGATAAGGGAGAGATGTGATGGAGAAGTCGGGTACGTAGGTAGTCGTGGTTGACCTTGGCTTGCACGTGCCGTACTAACCTTAATCGTCGGCGTAGCCCCCCCAGAGACCCCACCTACCTACCAACCCCCCCTCTAGTAGTCGGTGGAAATAGTTAGTCATTTGGAAATAGTTAGTCGTTTTCACGTGATATCTCGTATCACTAAAATATAACTTAATAGAAATCTACTTAAATTAATAGCTAATTAAGGCTATATTATACTAAAGATCATTAGAAATATATAGGATTATAAATTAACAGTCGGTAGTCTAGAGACGAGTATACCTCCCGCGGAATTATAGTATAATCTGCCTTTACCTATAGAGCCTCCCTCTTACTCTATAAAGCTAACTCCTATGTAATATATAAATCTCTATTAACTGAAGCTTACTAAATATCGTCGTTATTGTTATCGTTGCTATTAAGAGGTAAAATAAACGCTAAGAGGTTGTTATTAAATTATAAGTCAACTGGAGCTTTCTCTATAGGAGTAGCTCTTTTAGTTATAAGCTACTCTTTATAAAAGACGATATACGAATCTCTCTCTTTATTTAACTTAACGATATTTAGCTTAATCTTCTTCTAGTCTTTTAAATATCATAGGTTTTAAAGCTTTTATTCTATAATTCTAATAGCGGTATTACACTTCTTAATTTTATTACTCTTAACCTTGTTCTAATAATACTATACGCGCTAGCGATCTACCTCTTCCTTAAACCTCTTTTTCTTCTTTTATATAAAGCCTGAAGTTATATCTATAGCTCTACTACTAGTCTTAATTCTCTTATTACTATAAGCTATAAATTTAAGTTTCTGTTTATTAAGTTTAGCGATTTCAGCTTATATAGTTATATATTCGTGAGCTACGACTACGCTAGTGTATATAATCCTCTATCAGCAAATATATTTGGCTCCATATGGTGGCCGTCTGACCGCCGCCGGCGCCTTTTCGGCTATTTCAGCTAAAGTTGCATATCGATTAATTTAACAGCTAGCGACCCCTAAAGCGGTATATACTAATTTAAATTGACGACGTAGGCGCCTAAGGCGACTAAGGCGCTATAGGTGCTTATAAGCCTAATTAGAACTAGCGTATAAAATAAAAGTGGGTTCGATTTTTTATTTATTATATAAGATATATTAGTAAGCTTAGAAAGCTTAATAATACTAATCCTAAGGATATTAAAAGTACTTATAAAGGTATACCTTATAAGGGGGTATTATTAGGCTTATATCGCCCGATTAGGCAAGGCGGCGACTCACCTCTGCATAGAATTTACCCGAATCGAATTATAAGCTTATTAGCGATTTTTTAGCGTGGATATTCATAGCGTTAAAGGCTTAGCGAGACTAGTTTTAAGGACGTGCGTAGAAAGTATAGGTCTTTTTAAATTCTCGGTTAAAATCCACGCTAGTCTAACTGTTTTTAGTTAGTTTAAAATCTAAAAATAAACTTAACTTTTAATTTTTAATTCTAATTAAAAATATTATATCTTTCCTAATTAGGTCTAGCTTATATATAAAAGTGGGTCTTATAAAAGGCGCCTAGGGCGTATAAGGCGGCCTTTTATTATTTAAGGCCGACGTACGACGGCCTCTTATATTTTAAGGCGTCTTAAGCGTAAAAAGCGACTATTCAGTGAAAACAGCGAAAATGGCGGGTGGCACGTGCACCCGGCGTCAGAATTTTTTACTGATGTCCTTATAGTATTAAAAGATGTCGTACAGTAGTGGAGCAGGCTTTCATGTAGTAGAGGGCTCACTCGATCAAGTGGAAGTTATAGTATCAAAAGATGTATTCAAAAGAGCGTTACCCCCTAGAATCAGGGGCTGAGAGCATGCTATATATACATGGCATGCTTACCAAGCATACACTAAACCTAGGACAGGCTCACACAGCGCTGGTGTTCGACAAAAGAATTAGTATAAATAGCCTTAGAAGGACTACTTAATATAGTATCTATAAGAGGTTATATCTTCTTTTACTAGTAATATAATATATTTATAGTCTCGCGGAAAGTTTCTAGTATCTTTAGTAGCTCTCCTTACGTAAGAGGAAGTATAGTCTCCTGAACTAGAGAAGAGGTTTTATTATCTAGTAAAATATATAGCTCTTCAGTTACGATCTATAGCTTATTAGGAATCGATAGAATACTATAGACCTATTAAAATATAAGTAAAATATACTATAATAAATAGATAGTTCCTTACTCTTATCTTATTCTTAAGTTTCACCTCGTCTATAGGCTATAACCTGGAATTAATAAAGCTAGCTTTAATATTTACTAGAGTAAAGGTTTATACTTATATTTCAGGTAAGTCGAATAGGAAATCTTTAATTAAATAGATAATCTCACTTAATTGTATAGCTTTTTATATAGCTTTAATATGCTAGTACTTATAGAGTTGAAATAGCCTGATATTAAGAGGTTATATAATATATTTTATATAAGGTAGAAAGGTATATAGCGTGATATTATATTTAAAGCACTTAATTCTAAAGTTATTAGAATTATAAGATATATGACTATCTATTAAAAGAAGAGTTTCTAAGCCCTTAGGCTGAATTTTAGCGTGCTAAATAAAATAGTCTAGCTATTCTAAAGTAATCTCTTTATTAGTATAACTAGTGTTAAAGACTCTAATTCTCTTGTTACTTTTTTAGTTAGAATTGAACTACTTCTCTATATACTCCTGACTTTTAATAATAATATAAGGAGGAATCTTACGCCTATTAGTATTGTAAAGAAGTGAGGTAGTGCCGTTAAAGTGCATAGTAAGCAAGGATATAGAGGACTACTAATTAAGCAGGTAGTAAGAGTAAGAGAGAGAAGATAATATATTTATTACGCGCTATCGCGCCTATCTATATAACCTTATAGAACAGGCTAACTATCTTCTGACCTAGAACTATATTACCTTACTATATATGTCCCCCCTTAACTAAGCAGTCGCCCCCTGACTATATCCCCTGATATATCATATAAATAAAAGAAATATATAGATACTCCTTCTAACTATCTACCTCTATTATATCACTTACACCCGCCGCTAAGCACTCCTCGGCCTTCTTTATAAATAACAGACCCTTCTTTAACGCGATCTCTATTACTTCCTTACTTAGCTAGTTAGCGTCGGCCTCTACCTCTTTTATTAGAACGCCTATAGCCTTTAATACTTCCTTTAGGTAGTAAAAGGACTTCTCTCTAAACACCTCCTTCTCTACTCTTCTCACTATCTTAAAAGCCTTTATAACTACAACTAGTGCTTTAGCTCTCTACCTATTAATAAAGCTATAAGCTACTACTTGATCCCCTCTTAACAGAACGTTTCTCTGAGCTATTACTACTAGCGAACTCTATTATTATTATATAACTAAAGTATTAGATAGAGCACCTAACCCGGAAAACTTAACTATAGCAGTGAACTGAAAGGGAATAGCTCTATACTAATTTATAAGGCCTAATAAAGTAGCTAAGGGTATAGTGAAATCTTAATAGGAGTTAGCTAGATCTCTCTAACTTCCCCCTTCTATAACCTCTAAGGTTTTCTTATCGTCCTAAATTATAACAAACTATAGTAAGATAGTCCGATGAACCTTCATCGCAGGCCTAGTTAACCCGTGTAAGATCTTTAGTAGCGTAATCTATATATCTCTAGGGCTATAAGGAGTCCTAACCTAATCTACTCTTAGGACCTCTATATCCTCTTAAGTAAACGTTTAGTCTATAATTCAGTAAATATAGTAGTTAGTATCCTATCCTTACTCGCGAATACACGCCTACTACTCGCCTAGCTTATATTATATCCCCGGATAGTAGAAAGTATAATTATCCTTATCCTCCTAATCTAGCGAGATACTACCTTAAATTATAGTAGCCCCTTGATTAATAGTAAGTATTATAGTGGGGTAGTGTAGTTCTGGGTCGGAAGATAGTTAGCCTATTCTATAAGGTTATATAAATAGGCGCGATAGTATATAATAAATATATTATCTTCTCTCTCCTACTCTTACTACTTATTTAATTAGTAGTCCTCTACGTCCTTACTTACTATACACTTTAATAGTACTACCTTACCTCTTTATATTAGTGAATTACGCAGGGGACTAGAAGTAAAGTAGAAGAATAGTTAGGATATAGCTAAGCTAGTAATAAAGGTAAGAGTTAGAATTTTATCACTTAGTAACTTAGTTATAATAATAAATAGATATATAGGAAATAGCTAGAAAAAAGGGGCTTAGGGAGCCCC